TATGGAGTGAATGTATAGCCCAGATGAAGTGCACTAAAAAAAGAATTAATTTTCTACTCTTAGGTAAACAGAAGTTGCTACCTCGCCAGCGGTAGAGCAATAAAACCATTCAATATAGATAACTTGACCTGGGTTCAGAATTCCGGCGAATGGGCTGACTGCTTGGGAGTTTCGTGATTTTTTGTATAGGTAATGTGAATTCAGATCCAGTTAAAGTGCTTTTTTTTTTTCTTTTGCGATCACCAGATTTGGAAGCTCTTTCTCTTAATAATACAAAATCTCCTTCTGCCTAAATTTATTTTAGACAACACTGCTGGGTGTTTTCTTCATGCCAGAATAATTCTACCACCATTTCCTTGAAATCCAGGGATGATAGAGATTTTTTTTCCCGGCTTCATTATTTAACGAAACATGTGCTAATTTATTTTCAAATGTGTTTTGAGATTCATTTTTACGGTCAGTCTCTTCTTTTTATGAACCCACATCGAGGATTTTCTACATTTTTTTTTTTACCTCAACCATACCTGGATTTACGTATTTTCATACAATCTCAGAAATCATATATCCTCTTACGCAAATTTGTTAATTTCAAAACAAACTTGGCCAAATAATCTTGAAACAGCATTCAGGTTACATTTTATTTACATCTCCTAGTTAAGATGTAGTTTAATATTAAAAATTTAATTTAATATCTCCCTAACTTTTACACTTTAGCAAACTGTGCAAGTTAAAATATTTATTTGCAAAAACAAAAATATTTATTAAAATGTTAGAGCAGTTTGCATCTAAATGAATATGTATAAGGTAACTAATTATAGCAAAGATAATCCGATTATAATTAATTTTGGAAGCCTGACTGAAATGTTTTCCAAATTGAAACTTCGGTGAATATGTTGAATATTTTCTGCATCTGAAGTTACTGAAAGAAAAGAATTTTTAAAATGCGGTGATTTCCTATGGGAAAGTTTGCCTTTGGTGGCTAAAATATTTAGTTTATTTTTTACTTGATCTGTAGGTACTTATCAGTTAATACTTACTTAACTATGTCCCCTTTTGAGTGCGTAGAATCAATTTTTTTCCTCTTCCTTGTGAGTTTTAACTAAGTAAATGCAAATTGCAGTTTTGTTGAAAAATCTGAGGAAGCGTTTTCGATTAATGTAGAAATTATTGAACCTAAAACAATACGTAGAAAAGTGCAAATACTTTGCCACATTTACATAACATTAAAAAAAATTAGCAACTGCTAAGAACAAAAACTTTTATAGGTTTTGTTGACCATTACAGCATACAAGCTCGAAAAATATTACACTTGAATCTACGATCTGAAGCTAGCATTAGTATCAAACTATCACTTGTGAATCTACAATCTGTTCGCACATTTTGAGATGAATTTCATTGTATGTATAGACATATCTTACCTAAAAATGTTTTGTGTTTAAAAGTTCTATATGATAACTCTTATTCTTCACTATGTTTCTACATCATGATTCCTAAGACAATAAAGCTTTTTGTAGTATCGAAAGGGGTATTTTATCCCATTCCTCTTGAACAGCTTTCCAAAGTCCAAAGACAGTTATAGGTGGACTTCTGGATAATACGCTTTTTAAAAGTCCAAAAGAGCAAAAATTCACACATGATACATCAGGAGATTTAGTAGAAATATGAGTGAAGCAGACAATAATTTATGCATTCAAAAATTTACTTGCAGTTAAAAAAAAATTCCAACACACGCTTTTTTTTTTCTGTAGCAAAGTAAAATCATCTAAAAAGTGTGCAAACAGCCTCTGTAATGCTCAGTCGTATGCACATTATTTCGAATTTCTGAAAAAACTAATGGGGAATTTTAATCAAATTTGGTATGAATATACATTTATAATAGAGAAACGAAATACCACATCCTTGAGTCACTTCCAAAAGGTTAAAACTGTGAGAGGTCCATTTTAGTTACACATACAGAAAAATTAGATAATAACACCTTAGCTAACAGAAACTCAAAAGCTTGCATTTTGAAGGTTTTAAAATGAAAGACAAACCCATTTTAATACAGACAACTCTTAATTTGATGAGACAGGCATTTAATATAACTTTTTATTTAAAAATGTTGTTTCAAGTTCCAGGAATATGGCTACATAATTTATACAGATATATGAAATATGAACTTAATATAAATACTTCAAAAATAATCTTGAATGTATACAATGCTTCTCAGAAATATTTCCAGTCTGACGATAGTCAAGTTTTCAATACCAACAAATACAGATATAATAAAGAAATTTGGGATGCATATTAGATTTAGTGGGATCTTAAGAAAGGTGCAGAAGTACAGCATAATCTGTTTATGCAATGATTTCATCTTATACTATAATGTCAATTAATCAGCAAAGGTGGAAAACTTTTATTGCTTAATTCAGACCACTCTGAACTAATATAACAATTCAATGTCAAATATAATTTTTTTTAATTGGGATGCTATTTATACCTTGAAATCACAAAAATAAATCAAAAGATTTCAAAAATACTGTCAAAATAATAGGGGGGAATAATGTTAGTATAAAAATACCGTCAAAATAGTAGGGGGGGGAATACTGTTAGTATAAAAATACTGTTGAAAGAGCAACAGAAATTTTGTTCATTAAAAATTTCAAAAATATACCAGATGAAATGTTATTTAATTGATTCCTGGTAAGGTTTTTCATATCTAGAAAAATTCTGTTCAGCAATTTTCAGATTAATAATTTATGCCTGAAAATTTTTTTAAATATTTGTTTTAATGAGGTAATATTTTTAAAATGCAATCCATTTTGCATAATCAACTTTCTTCACGTAATATAGAGATATATCAGATATTGCATGGACATAAATTTCTACAATACAAAGTACTAAATAGAGGGAGGTACTGGAATAGCCATTAAGCTCAGAGTGCAAGCTGTGGCTGCTATAAAAATTATGTCAATCAAAACATGGACATCTGAATTGCCAGAAAGTACAAGACACTATCTTCAGAAATTTATCAAAGGTGCCCCACACTTTTATTATTCATGATATAAAATTATAGATGAATTTTACAGACAGAATTATTTATCCTTTTTCCCATGAAATTGTTTGATAAATTATTTTTCTTCATTTAGTTCATTAATTATTTTATGAGTTTTTAAATAAAAGCTTATTTTATACAAACTTTTTGATTTTCATCTTTTTAGTCTCAAAGACACATTATCAATCAAACTAATCAAATGGAAAATAATTTTTAACAGTGTATAATCACCCATTTACTTGCAACAATTCTGTTACATCAAATAATAAAACAAAATCCAGCAATTTTGGGAAAAAAAAAAAAAAAAAAAAAAAAAAAAAAAAAAAAAAACAGAAGTTACATTTAAATTTAATATAAACTTCATTTAAAAGATTTTTCTAGTCTGTCTAGAGGTGCAAACAGTAAATTTCTGGAGAAATCTATACAGATGCAAGAAAAACTGTATGATGCAATAACATCAGAACCTTGAAATTGAAAAACTGATACTTCCTCTTCTGTTTCATAGTGCAGTATATTAGAAAATGGAGAAAATTGCTCAATTGATATCTTATTATTATTGCCATTTAAAATAATGCTTTAAAAGAGGACAATAAGTTTGTTTTATAATCTGTGAAAATTCCAAAACTTTGTAACTGATATATTTTCAGATGTTGAAATTTTAAAATCATAAATCTCGAATAGTTTGAAAAATTGAGCAACTTTTGAAAATTTGCTAAAAATTCAGAAATTACATTAAAAATTTAAAGAAATGTTGGAAGTAAAAAAGTGATTCTTCTTTCTTGAAAAGCGACTTTTCAGTTCAATAATTAAATTGATGAAGTGACATTGACACTAAAAAGATAAAAACAATTTTTTTAATAAAGTAAGTTTCTACTTAAAAATCACAAAATAATTAATGAACTAGAAGGAGGATAATAATTTCTCATATAATTCGACTGTAACAAATAAATAAATTATCTTTATCAAATTCCTCTACAATTTGTATATCAATAATGCATATGTACCTAACTATCAAAATTGAATAATCAGATTGCATTGTCAAAAGCAAGCCATGATCTCTACAAAGTTAACAAGGGCACCTCATGCTTTCCCTATTTGTTATATACCACAATTCCTTGCACATTTACTAATTTTATCATTTGAAAATTGAGAAAATAAAATATCTACATAATTTTTTTTTCTGACGGACACAGTTATGGTAAGCACATCACAAATCAAAAGTAGTCAAGGAAAAACTACAGTTAACTATAACAATATTATTTCTATAAAAAAAACCTATATTTCAAAGAAAATACAGAGTAATATTAACATTACAAAATCTAATATCTTCCTTTCTGCTTTCCTGTGACTTGAATCTCTGTCGTTCTTACTGTTGTCTCTGCTACATCTTAGGCCTCAAATAATGCATAAGTAATTACAGAAGATGTATGTGAAACCAACTCAGTAAAATAGTAGACTGAATGTTAGTTTTTGTTTAGGCTGGCATAAAGTTTAACAGTTATGGAAGGGGGGAAAGAAAAAAAAAAAAAAAAAAAAAACTCAGCATGACCTAAGTCAAGGATTTATCTTTGTTAGTAAGACAGAAACAGTCACTACATGGATGAATCCATTTTAAACTTAGAGGGTGCTCATTTTCTGAAATCACCAAGGAAAGGAAAAATTATGCAACATTAAAAAAATTTTCAAAGTCTGGCTCTAAAAAGCTAGGAAAGAGGCAATACATTAGAATTGTAGATAAATTTTGTAATTTAATCCCTTGTTTCCATGCATTATATGGTAAGTTATTTCCTGCTTTTGATTCATTTATTATTTTATCAGTTTTAAATAAAAGCTTTATTTTAGGGTCAACAGAAATAAGTTTTTGGCCTTCGTTATTGATTTATGATTTCCTGTTACTTTATTTCATTTTGTTTGAAATAATCAAACAGTAGCAAATAGAATATCTTTTTCATAAAAAATATAAACATTTTATTTATAATAATAAATTTTATTTTATATTTCATAATTTATTACATTTTAGCTACAGGTTTCAAACTTAGAATATAGAAACCTGTTGTCATTATGCTTGCAGTAGCCTCACATAACAACAGGCGACTCATATTTTACATTCTTAACTTCACCTGTTAAAGAAAAGACAAATAAAAATGAAATAAGTACTTCTTTAAATAGAAAAATTGTTTACACTGCTGCAAACAATTTATTTTTTTAAAATAATTTATAAATATTCAGAAAAAAAAAAAAAAAAAAAAAAAAAAGGTAAAATATCTGAAAACTTACCTTTTTCGTCTTTTGAAATTATATAGCAATTGTCATAAAATTCAGAAAACACAACAGATAATTCATACAGGTAGTCACATAAAGTGTGTAATGACAGATCTTCAATAACATTTACTATAATTTCTTGGAACCGAATGACCATTTTGGCAAGTTTGAGTTCTTTAGGATGCTCTAGTTCTATTTTAGTCGTACGAGCAGAATTTTTTAATGTTTCTTCATCAACATTAACATTTCTGGCAATAGATCTGTGAAAACAATAAAAAAATATATCAATAACAACTGACATAGTATTATTTAAAAGCAAAACACATTATACAGCTATGGATCTTTAATAAGATATTTAAAATTTTGTTCCAACATTCCTTCACTTTATGCCAAATTATTTTTCAAAAAACTTCCTAAAAAGTACTCCCAATTTCTTACATACTTTTGTTTGATTTCTTCAACTAGTAAAGCATGCAAGTTATCAGCCTAGCAGAATGGTTTCCTTTGAGGAGTATTTTATAAAAGAAACTGACTCATATTCTTATTATACATGGAGAAAAACTACGGAAAATAGCCATGCAGATATCCTATTTATCAAGATATGAACGCAAATCAAATTAACAGTGTTCAGTGGTTTTACTACTTGGAGACTTGTGTGCACTTTTATACTTTTACTTCAGGGTATGCAAACATATTTATGTATATGGTGAAAATTTAAAATAAATCTCTTCCATAATCTGAGACTGAGGAGAAAATAGTTCATGCTATTTTTTGCTTGTTTTGATTATGTAGTTTTTAAATAATCAAGAATTTAAAATAATTAAATTCGTTTATATTTAACATTTTTAACTCTGCATATCCAATCAGCTTTCAGTTTCACACAGGTGAAAAAAAATACAAGACATGTTGCAAAATGATACATCCATTTCTAAATTTGAGTTGAAAAAAATAATTGATTTTCTCTAGGGAGTAAAGACCTAAAAAAGTTAGTACTAAAATATCAACACGATGAAATTTTATTGCCATTCATCAATTAACCTTGACAAAAAGTTATAAATTTAAAGATATTTGATTCTTTTAAGGCTAAATCTTATTGCACATTTTGTCATTTTTCTTCCTTAAGCTTACATTTAATTCATTGTGAAAAATAGAATATATATTATATATATATATATATACATAACAATACCCTTCTGCTATCTTTCTAGCAAAACTCTGTTAGCTTTTTTCACCATTACGAGAAATGCTCAAAGCATTTTTAAGTTCCTAATCTTTGGATGTATTCTGAAGTAAAAATACAAAAAATAATTAATATTTATTTCTCAAAATGAGAAAATTTCATTTTCTTAATTATTATTCTTATTTACTCCAAAGTTTATGTCTTGAAACACACAATGCCTTTTTCATCCGTCATATGGTCAATGAAGCAATTGGATGTTGGTTAGGTTAGGTTTTAAGTTAGGTTATTTAATTACGGCAAAGCCTCGAGGGCTATCTGCCTGAGGGGAGGGATGCCTTCGTGGAGGACTTTCTAAGGGAAACTGGCTCGTATACATGTTACACATGGGGAAAACCACGAAAACACCCATGCAGCCAGCCCGTTCGTGGGATTCAAACCTCGGCAAATGGATGTTGAATAACAAATATAAAAACAAAACTGCGATTGTTTAGCTGATACATATAAATCATCCTCTTATGCAGTTTTCAGATTGTAATAATTTACAACAAGAGCAAACATCATTAGTAAATTAACAGTAAATTTCCCAAGTATGTTGATTAAAATACAAGTAACTTTCTTTATAAAGTGAAAAGTCTTTAATCCGGACTCGTCGGGACTTCGGTGATTCCGGATTATCGATCATCAGTTTAAATCTGGTAAGATGGCATGCAGAAATTATAAATATGAAACTGTAATTTATAAAATAATGAGCAATTATGATCTAAAGGGTATCAAAATTTACAAAAAAAGAAGCTTAATATTTATTTGTTTACTTTATTAAACATTTCTTTTAATGCGCGCATGCGTAAAGCATACATTACGCATAGCCGAAATTAGAAAATTGCAACCAGAAAACTATTTGATTTGTATTCATGATATTTATAATGACGAGGAATTTGATTTAAATCATATCAAAGACTGAGTATATCGAGATGAAATACTACATTTAGTAATAAATTATAAGCCGAATAAAATAAAAACATCTGCCCTGAAGATAACGATAGTGCTGACAGATCAACTTCCAGTTCATTAGTTCATTGCGCGCCACGATGTCCCCCCCCCCAGCAGCGTGAAATTGATAAACAGATTTCGGAACGGTTAGATAAACAAAGGATATGCTTTTATCCATTTTTTGTAGCAATTCCACTTTTTGTTTGATGGACATCGAAACATACTTTTGTTTTGTATATCCTTTGGGAGCTCCAGCATCGGAAATTCTATTTGACATAATCGAAAGTTCAAGTTTACTTTTATAGTATTGCTCTTACAGTCTGCAAAAAATAATAAGCCGTATCCAATTCGAAGATTAAGGAACAATGCAATCATCAACATTAACTGAAATAGATAATTAGATAATTTTAGCTTATACCGTCCGTTATACATTAAACGCGCACGCGAAAACGTAATCTGCGCTTGCACAGACACATATGCGCAGTCGTAAAGGTCTTGCATGCACGCATAAACGCCTATGCGCATGCGTTAACGCGGCGCATGTGCAGAAAGATTTTAGCTTTGAGGTCCGGATTATAGATCATTCCGGATTATGGGTGTCCGAATTAACGACTTTTGACTGTATAACATATACAAATTTTCTTCAGATGATTTCATCTTCACCCAAATTAGCAAATTAACAGAAAGTTTTATAAATACAGGGTTGATTCATAACTTCATCCTGTTTTTTGGAAATTCAAATCACGTGTAGATTTGATGTTGCACATGGTGTTGCAGCGAGTAGAATTTTCAACCAATAAAATGTGTAGGCAAAGATGCAAAGGCAACATGGTTGTAAGGGTAAATTACCCAGTAAAAAAATTTCAAATGATTTAAAATTGCAGAGAAGCATATCAGACTCTGTTTTCCATATGAGTTTGACAAACACAATACTGCAGCACTAGAATGATGAAACATTTGTCAAATGTACAGGGAACTTGCATTTGATGTCATCTCATGTCATAACTAGTTTTAAAAATGAAGGGATGGAGATAGAAGTTATAAAAATCTATCAAGTTCTGATTGTCCATCAGTGGTTTCTGAGCAGATTCTGGACCAAGCTTTATCGAATTGCCTCCCAAGCAACACTTGAGGAATTAGCAAAAACACTATTTGAACTTGGAGCATTGACTGCATGCAACTAGATTCATCATAAGGCTTAGTTGGTGCATTTCAGATAAGTTCTCAAAAATGCAATCACAGCTGGTAACTACTATCTGTCGTTCTTTGCTTTCTTGTTTGAAAAATTTTCTTTCTTGTTTGTTAAATATTTCGAATAAAGTACAATGTGTGATCGGAAATGCAGTGCAATGCAGTGCAGTGGTCTTCAAACTCCGCAGAAGCAGTCTTCAAACCTCACAGAGCCTTTAGAACTAAAAGACTTTTTGGGAGCTACATTCTCTAAAAACCTCTAAAAAAATATATCTTAAAAATAATATATAGTAGCTTAAGTTAAAAGTAGATTAATATGTTATAGGTACTTATCATAAAGAAAATTAAAGTATTATACTTTTTTTATTTAAAAACTTTAACATAAAATTAATGTAATTTACTCATCAATAGCATTAATTTGTGCTCCAGGTGTCACCTACCCTTGCATTCTTTTTATGCAAACTGTGCAAATCTAGTTCTACTGATGGTATCTGCAGTCATATTTAATATTCTGCATTTAATTTGTTTCTATATTTTGCTTTTGTTGCCACATACACTGAGAATGATTTTTCACTTAAACACGCTGTTCTGAATGGCATTAAAATGTTCATAGCAGTGCCAGAAACTTCTAGTTATTCTGCATGTATCTATAACCGAAAATTTAGGAGCTGCTCTAGCTGAAATTTAGATTTTTAACATTGAATTTTTTGGTATGCAGATAAGTTGTTCACTTTCCTTCATAGGCAAATCTTCTAATTTATTGTAGTAAAGGAGCAGATACTATCTTAACCAGTCATTCTTAATTTTTTCTTCTGGGAAATATTCTCTTAAGAGTTTTCTTCAATTGAAAATGTGCTTCACTGTAGAATTTTTAAGCCTTTTGTCAAAATTCCATCTATTTTCCATTACAAAACCCGTTTTCTTTCATAAAGCATTGCCTGTCATTCTCTTTGACATATAATGACCACATGCTAATTAAAGCATCTGTAACTAAATGTACCTTTATGTTTTTTAAGTTAGTAAAATCATCATATACTATTATCTGTAATAGTCAATTAGTGTTGAGTGCTTTATAATTTACTTTTTGAATTGACTCACAGAACACAGTTTGAAGACCATTGCTCTACAATAAGGTTAACATAAAAAGACTGTGCATTATGCTTTGAAACCTGCTCCTCCCACATTACAGCTTCATCCTGAAGGTTTCACCAAGTGTATGCTAGTGTATGAAGGGAATCATATACTGAGATTAGCATTTGTGGAACCAAACCATTCATGCCAACAGTTGGACAAACTAAAGCAACAGATGATACGCAAATGTCCTATTTTAGCGAACAACTCAGGTTGCATTCATCACATGGAAAAAACTATTTGACTTTTGGTTCATCCCTGGCCTATCATCATTTTGTAACATTATAGAATTCCTTGGCCTTCAAATCTTGGATGATACGTAAAATGTGAAAAAAGCATTAAAATTTTTTCATTCTACACCAGAGGACTTTTATCTACAGAGCATTAATCTACCATAACACAGATGAAAAATGTCTACGTACGTATGTATGCTATGTTTTCTTTTAATCGCTCTTCTATGTCAGAAAAGAGTGGGAACAAACATTTGCATCAACCCAACATATTGAAACATTATTAATAAAACTTCCTTTAAGTAGTACATTTCATAATCCTACCAATTTATACTAAATATGAAATATTATGTTTTAAGTGGAGAAGCACAAATACTTACTTTATTCTAACTAGAGAATACAACAGATAAACAGCAGAGTTCCCTTTGTCATCTAACATCTAAAAAATAATTAAATGCATATATTTGTAGAACATACATATATACATATATTTATAGAACTGAACTAATGAACAATAGGCAACTTAAAACAAAATACTTACTCTCTCAAAAGAAAATACATAATCATGCATTCGATTATGGCTCAGGTCAGCATATTTAATACAACCATATGCTACAGCTTCTTGAGCAGCTTTTAATTCCTCAGGCGTCAATACCTAAGATATAATGCATACTGTAAGCTCTCTTACATAATCAATATAGAACCATTAGAATAGGAACTATAACAAAAATTAAATATAATTACATAGATATTGCTGTTGACACTTATTGCAGAAATTATACAATAAGCTGCAATGATTTTATTGTTTCATATTCTTTCTTATCCATATTTACTAAATTGTTTTGGCAACAGCACATATCAGGTTCTTTTATTAAATAAAACCTTAAAAGTATTCGCTCGTCATAGTGCATTTCAGCACCACTGTATGAAAATCAACCTATGTTCTTTAGCTTAGCTAAGAAGGCATATCATAATTTAATCTTGATATTATATTGCAAATTATTATAATACAATATTTTAAAACTTTTTAAAAAAGATTACACTCCCTACATGACATCAAAGTTTCAGGTTCAAATTTTGTTTGATGCTCAAGTCATTATGAAATTATAAAATATTTTTATGAGAAAGTTAAAGTTTAAAGAAAACAAACTCCATTAAAGAAGCATAATATTATACAGCACTACAATCATGCTATATCATAAACAAGATATTAGAAATCATTGAGCGTGTAATTTAATGCATAATAACATATCTGAGACACAAAATGCCTGTACAATTATGATTTTATATGTGAATTCATAACATTTTACAATGAAAGATGTATGTTTTCTAACAGCAAATAATAATTCAAGAATAAGCTGCTTTTTTATTCTCTTGAAACTAGTGTATTACAAACACTTAAAAGAATTAAATCAAATTACATCCCCTTTTTGAATGCATTATTCAGTAGGTATATAAAAAGGCACTTTTAAGTAACAGTAACCTTAAATTGCACACTTCAACAGAGCATTTGCATAGACACAGGTGCATAAATTATCTTTTTTTTGCAACCCCTTTTCCTTTCAAATAAATTTTGGTACTAAAAACAATTCTTACTTCATCTCTCTTCTTTTCTTTTAATTTTAGAAGACTTTTTTGCAATCCTTCATCTAATAAATCAGCCAATTTCACAGTATCTCCAGATCTGGTCTTAAATTTCTTTCTAAAAAGCAGTTCATAAATTAGTAAACACTTTTTAATTCATAGGTCATAAATTCTGACTATTACTTATTTCAAATTACAAAAACAATTCAAAGATCAGATTAGAAATATTTTCAATTAAAGAAAAAACAATCTGAAACTACTCAGCTTTTTTGTTCTACGTCCCCCCAAAAAACCCCAAACTTTTTTTTAAAATATTAAAAGTATTGAAATATGAAGCGATTTGAACTTTCATTAATATACTTAGGTGACCACATAACATGCTGTTGATTTTGCATCAGCGGATTTAAAAAAAAATTATTGATTAAAATCAGATATTATCCCATTTTATAAAATGATGGAAAATGCATTAAAGTCAAAGATTGAAAATATTTTAATTACTGAATATAATTTTAAAGAACTACAATTGTTTAAAATATTTTAAACAAGCCATGTCAGTATAATTCAACAAAGGGTGTCATTTCCACATCTGTTTGCTATCAGGAGTATATCTGTGACTGCACTAATTTAAAAACATGGTACGTGATCTAAATAAATTAAAAAAAAAAAAAAAAAAAAAAAAAAAAAAACCTTCTTAAAAAATCTAAAATATATGAAGTAAGTAAATTTTTTATGCTACAATGCTTCACAGTACAGTAAATCCTCATTTTTCAAGATTAAGGTACAGAGTAGTTAGGTTTACTTTGGAGCATGAAAGGTGAAAAAATAACCAGAAAATAGTACATCATTAACACAGACAAAATTACAGAAGAGAATCAAGATGCAATTAACAACACAAAAGTTCTTAATGTAATCAAGTCAAATATTAAACATATCTTTGTTTTTTTAAACCAGTTTCAATCGCTTTGGATAAAATACAGAAGTAAACTGCAGCATTAATAAAGGTATTAAAAGTTTGGATTTTGATACAACACATATATGAAATATGAACAAAGACCATCATAAGCATATTTTTTAGGGTGACCGGAAAAATGCCCACAGGAAAAAAGTCCACAGGAATAATGCTCACAGGTATAAATGCTAAGAGGAAAAAAAAAAACCCACACAGAAAACGCTTACATGGAAAAATGCTCACTTAGAAATATGCTCACATGAAAAAAAAAACTCGGATAGATATATGCTCACATGGAAATAAACACACTAATAAATAAAATATGTAGAAATATCCTAACAATAATTAATCGATTTGAACATTGTATACCTACTTGCATTTCTCAAAGAAAAATTATTTAAATTACGAAAACATCTATGGTATATATGTATCGAAAACTCTATAACTTATTTCTAGATTCAGATGCTATATAAGATTAGCAAATGGACTGTTTTGAATTAAGAAAAAGAGAGGAGGAAGGAAGAAAAATGAAACGGAATATACAGTAAAAAATTATTACAATTTTAATTGTTAAAAGAACAAAATAATAGTAAATATAAGTTACACATTTTATAATATAAACATTTAGAAGAATAGCAAATATAAATATTTATTTTATTTAAAATTATGTAAAATACCTTATTATATATAAATCATACATATATATTTCAATTTCAAACTTATAAATACATAAAATTACTGAAAATTAGCTAACATGTGTAAATATCTAATTTCATCATCGATTTCATCATAGTTTCTTACATGATTCATGATTATTAAATGTAAGTTTTCATATTTTTTTTTTTTAACTTCAGTACACCCTGTATTTATAATAGCTAATAATAAACGCTGACAGGCTAAATCTTTTTTTAGTCTGTCAAATAAAAACCACATACTGAGATGGCTACAATTAAATAATGAATTTAGTACTTTATGAAAGCTTTCGTAATGATTTATGGTTTTAGGAGATTCTTCGGAGGTTGCTTCAAAATGATTCCATGCTTTGATTGGAAACTGTGGTCTTCTAGAACTTTTTTTGGTTCCAAACTTAAATAACTACATTCAAACATCAACTCCTATAGATACATATCAAAAGTATGCAAAAATAGAGTAAAAAAAAAACAAAAATTAACTATTGGCAGTTACAAGAATAAAAATGTCGTAAGGGGCAGTGGTATAAAATAGTACATGCAAAATTTTACTATAGTTTTCATTCTTTTATATACCGCCTCTGAAAAGGTTAATGTGAGCATTTGTCCAATAACTTTATCAAATGATACAGTAAATTTTCTTTTAAAAATTGAGTAGGTTATGATGTTCAGATTGATTAATCATTGATTGATTAATGTAAGGATATTTCTACGTATTTTATTTATCAGTGGGCGTATTTTCACGAGAGCATGTATCTATGTGAGCTTTTTTCCAGGTGAGCATATTTCTAAGTGAGCATTTTTCCACGTGAGCTTTTTTCTGTTTGGGCTTTTTTCCTGTGAGCATTTATACCTGTGAGCATTATTCCTGTGGGCTTTTTTCCTAGAAGCATTCTTTAGCACATATATTAACATCAAAGTATAAAGAAGCCTCACTAGCAAATGAAAAATTAAAAACATCCACTGGAATTAGTAAAAGAAAAATATGCAAACACTGCTTTGTTCAGCATTATATTGAAAATTATAATTCATTTTCCATTAGAATCTTTTCTGAAAATGAAGTCGTTGTGTCAGTAACCACATTTGAGAGGTGAAAATCAACAGCTCTTATGAAATAATGCATGGGAGGAAAAGAACCAGATATCGCTGAAATGTTACGCACAGCAAGAGCTTTATCAGAAGAGACTGAAAGAATGTTTTCTACAGTTAAAATTAAACACAACAACCTATAAAACAGTTAATTATTGGAAAGACTGCAAAATATCTTTTGTTCAAGTTACTGAATGCAAACGGTAGTAATGCAGATACAACGTGATAAACTATTTTGAAAATGTAATGCAGATTGTAAATATAAAGCCATTCTTGTAGTTATATTTATATAAAAGACATAACCACAGGGATCTCTATGTTTGTTAGTTAGCATATATGTCTAAGTTTATACTTAAGTGATTAAGCTGATTATGTAAATTATTAATGTCAAAAAGCTGCCAAGATGTAATCTTTTTCATACTGTTAATTATTAAATCTAGATGCACTTTATATTATCTTTTAATTTCTGATTACCATATTAATGTAGTGCCTACATCTGATAACAGACTGCGCTCAAAGGCCATACACACTTTTCTGTTCTGAAGTCAGAGAGACGAGTATGGATGGAGATCAGAAAGGACATGTTCTAGACAGCAGCTATCAGGATTTACATTTTCCGAAAAGTTACAAACTAAGTGTATGCCATAGCAAGGATCTAATAAATAATAAATCACAGTTCTATAAATATTATGCAAACATTAAAAAACTTCACATAATATAAAGCAAGATGGCATGATTTATTTTCCTCCACATTTCAGAGGCAGGATAGTGGATAATGGATTCAGAAGATGGATAGTTGGATATTGACTGTTGAATAGTGTTATCATTCAAGAAGTTTTAAATGCTGTAGAGACATTTCACATTACAAAATGCTATTAAAGAAATCAGTATTGCACTGAAAAATTGCAAGGAAGATAGGATTAAAATGTGAATAAATTCATTTTCAGTAGTAATGGTGATTAGTCAAATTGGAAGAGAATAATAAATTTCCCTGGGTTTGATTCTTGAACCAGAATGTGATAACTTCAGAAAAATTCAAACATATTGAAGGCAACTTTTCTCTAAATGAACTGATTACAACTTATAATGTTTCGAAAGAATAAGTTTGAACTAGGAAAATTAATTTCATCTCTTATGTGATACTGCAACATTGGCAGAAAATATGAGTGATGCAAACGTACTGTATAGCTTGTAGCAAGAAATGGAAGAAGAACCAAATAAAAAGAATTTTTAATGATTATTCAATGCAGTGTGACATTTAGAATGTCCTTGATCCTTCTACACAATGTTATTATGCTTATAAAAGTAATTTATGCTATTTTTCAAAATGTCAGCATTAATTATGCTGACATCGAGAGTATTATTTCTATACTTAATGCATAACTGCATGAAAATGTTATTCATTGGATTGAGCATTTAAAGATTATTTCTAAATTATTTAGTTTGTCAGATTTGTAAAAATTTATTTTTTTCTAAAAGATTACTTCAAAGAAATGCAACCTTATTTATTTGAACAGCATCTGAAATAAATTTTAGGGACTGTTCTGAAACTCGTATACGGTACTTTAATTAAAGTCTTTAATCATTTTGATTAAAGTCTTTAATCAAAATCTTTTAACAAAAATCAGCATTATATTTACAAAATTTTCACAGGAAAATTTTTTTTAAATATAACGCTGATTTTTGTTGTTTGACTTCAAAAGTCGTTAATTCGGACATCCATAATCCGGACCTTAAAGCTACAAACTTTCTGCGCATGCGTCTTCTTGACGCATGCGCGTAAGACCTAAACAGCTGCGAATATGCGTGTGCGTGTGCACAAAATACATTTACGAATGCACGTTTAATGTATAACGGACAATATATGCTAAGCTAAAATTATGTAATTCAGTTAATGTTGCAGATTGCGTTGTTCCTTAATCTTTGAATTGGATTCGGCTAATAATTTTTTGCAGATTGTTAGAGCAATTTTATAAAAGTAAGCTTGAAATTTCGGTTATGTCAAATAGAATTTCTGATATATATTTACTAATAAGGAAGGATCTACAAAGCGAAAGTATGTTTCAAAGTCCATTAAACAAAGTGGAATTGCTGCAAAAAATGGATAAAGGCATATCCTTTGTTTATCTAAACTTTAACGTTTGTTTATCTAAACTTTGTTTATCTTTAATGCCGCGGGGGGGGGGCGCAATGAATTGGATGTTGATCTGTCAGCACTATCCTTATCTTCAGGGCAGATGTTTTTATTTTATTTGGCTTATAATTCCTTACTAAATGTAGTATTTCATCTCGTACTCCGTCTTTGATATGATTTAAATCAAATCCCTCATCATTATAATTCACTTCCAATAGCAAAGAAAGTGGCAGAGGTTATTGCAAACGAAAAAATTTCGATTGACAAATTAGTGGGTATTCTCGACACAGCAATTATAGGACTTGAACAGCGGAACTTTGTAACTAAACAAGAAATTATGTCTGTTTAATAAAACTAAAGAGAAAGTATTATCACATAAAAAACGAAGCAACTGAAACAACTTACATTGAAAGAAATGTTTAATAAAGTAAACAAATAAATATTAAACTTTTTTTTTTTTGTAAATTTTGATACCCTTTAGATCATAATTGTTCTTTATTTCATAAATTACGGTTTCATATTTTTAATTTTATAATTTCTGCATGCCATCTTACCAGATTTAAACTGATGATCTATAATCCGGAATCGCCGAAGTCCCGACGAGTCCGGATTAACGACTTTTGACTGTAGTTATTTTGTGTTTGTGTCTTAATTATGAAGCCCAAAAGGCGGTTTCTTTTGCACGTGGGGCTGCATTTGTGATTGCATGAGTTTCGGAAGTACTTTTGCATTCCAAGTTATGTTTATGTTTGTATATTTGAATATTGTGCTTGCTTGTCTGATTTCATGCATTTTGCTTACAAATGTTTTTTTTCTATTCATTTCAGTGAGGGATTTTTTGCTGTTTGGTGTGGGCTTTATTATGCTAGTTAATTTAGTTTGATTGTCTACATTGTTTAACATGCCTTCATCATTAATAGTTTCACTAAATTACGCCTGAAACGCCAAAATTCCTAATCATCTTGACTTTTTTACTTGAAAGTTAAATGTAAAAAATTGATCCCAATTTATTCAAATCAAATCTAATCAAAACCTCGAGTCGTGTTTCAAGAATTCTGTAAATTGCAGCTTGCCATACTTCAGTCCATAAGGGATATACGTGAACAATTGTCCAAAATTGAACAAGCTTCATCTCTCTCTATAAGCTTCTATAAGCTTCATCTGGAACTTGCTAAATCATATCCAAAATTCACTGCCCTTGAACAAAAGTGTTTGTCTAGAACGGAGAATGCAGTTAACCATCATAAAAACATCCTTGCAGATAAATTCGAAAAACTTCTTTTACAGTCTTCCAGTTCAAGTAGTTCAAAAAATCTTCCCATTGTAAACATCAAGCCAATAGTTAATATTTCTAATGTTAATCTTTCAGAAGGACAAGAGAGAATTCTAAAATATAATTTTAACTTCTCACAAACCTGTAACCCTCGATTCCAAAGATTTTGGCTCCTATCGAAAAAGGTTTCAGTTCAAGTAAGTTTCAGATTCACAGAAAGAAATGATTAGCATTTATTGCTCATAATGTGAAATTCAATTAAAACCTTTGAACCAAATCTAACTGCGAAGAAAAAAGCTACATGCGCGAAATCATTCTAACCCAGATATTATCATTTCAAGGCCCAACAAAGGTGGCCGATAGTCGTCATGGACAAGAACACTAACATCGATGGTGTCACTAAACTCTTAAACGAAGACCCATATAATCCGATCCCTAAAGATCCTTCACCTTCGGCTTGTCAAAAATAAAAACTGCGATCAATCTTCACAAATCATTTCAAGCAAATTAAAATATTTGCTTATCAATCTGTTGGAATTGTGCCAGATTATATGCTCTTCCCAAAATTCATAAAAAGTAGTATCCTTTCCACACTATTGTATCAAATTTAGGTACTGCCTCGTATCCATTAGCTAATATTTATTTCTAGATTTTCAACTCTATTAGACATAACTTTTACACCATAAAAAATTCAATAGAGTTTGTAAAAAGGTTAAAAACATTTCTCCTAGTAATTTACTCATGGTTTCTTTTGATGTAAAATCATTATTCACCAATTCCCAGTGGAGGGGGGCAAAGATGTCTAAACCAGACTTTTCATTTCTCTTGCATCAAATGATGAGCTAATTTCTCTCACTCAACTCTGTTTGAAACAAACACATTTTGTTTTCTAAAATAAACATTACAAGCAAACTGACGAATTAGCCATGGGAAGCCCCCTCAGTCCCATCCTGGCTGATATCTACATGCATTATTATGAATCAAAATTGTTTGAAACTTTAAACTTCCTGACATACTTCCGCTACGTAGACGATACTTTTACCCTGTTTGAAGGTAATAAAGAAGATTTAAATAAAGTTCTTCCAACAATGAATTCTATTGATCCTGCTATTTAGTTAACTTTTGAACTTCAGACTTGCAATTCTCTTCCGTTTCTTGACATTCTGGTCACACGTAACACATCCAACTTCAGTACTACGGTTTATCGTAAACCTTCAGCAGTTTGCCTTCCACCTCACTTTAAATCATGTCATCCGACTAAACAAAAGTTAGCTTCATTTTATCCTATGTTTTCCGTGCTCTTCATGTTTGTCCTCCAAACTACCCTTGATGAAGAAAATTATTAAAAGCAATAGTTATAATGACAGGGGCTTTTCACCCAAAATTATTAATCAAGCAGTGAAAAAATTCTCATCTCAACACACTAAAGGCACCACTTTTGCTTTAGGAGATTATAAAAATTCTGTTGTCATTCCCTTCTTTCCATCAATTAGCTATAAAGTTTGCACATATTTTGCAGAATTTAACTTTCGGGTTGTTTATTCTCCCATCAATAAAATTCCGAGTTCCATACTCAAGGACCCCATTGTGGATATGAATTCCTGGGGTATTTATAGGATTCCTTGCCAGTGTGGTTTAATTTACATTGGCCAAACTTAAAATTTTGCGTCAAGGAACATGAGGCATATGTTAGAAAAAAGGAAACACAGAAGTCTTCTGTTGCTCAACATTGTTGGTTCGAAAATCACACTTTCAATTTTTCTGCTGCCAAAATTATTCAAAAAACATCTTCCATTGGAGAACTGGATTTTCTAGAGGCATTTCACATTCATAAAAATCTTTCTGTTCTAGTTAACGATCCTAATTCCAATCCAAATTTGCCTTCCCTTTAAAGAAATTATGTTTTAGTTCTGATTTCACTAACAGATGGCGCCACTTGCTTATCCTTGTCCAGGCTTTCTTATCTTATCTAATCATTATTTCCTATCTTGTTCATTTGCAGTTTTGCAGCTGAGGATGGTGGTTCGGTAAAACCAACGAAACTAGTCGTGTGAAAATTTTGTAAATATAACGCTGATTTTTGTTGTTTGACTTCTGAATATAATAAAAAGTTTTGAATTTTATAACGAATAAAACTATGACACCAAATGTAGACTTGAATTTTTTGATAAAAAGTAATAAACCAATATTTCATCAGCCCTGTAGTTTTCATTTTCAGAAATAAATAACTAAATAAATTAAGACCGTTGAATGGTTTTTAACCTTAAGTTAAAGCAGGAAACCATATGACATTATCAAGAAAGTAAGCTGTAAAGACAGTCCAAAATATTGAAATAAGACTATTGCTAAAATGATGTTGAAAGAAAGAAGAAAGAGAGAGGGATGACGAGCAATATTTGAAGATGAGAAACAGTGTTTAAAAATGGCAAATGAAACTAAGACAAAATTGGTAATATTGTACTTTCAGAACTGTAAGGCATTTAAAAGCTCTAGAACACGTCCAACACTTATTTTTGAGAGACTAAAATATCTTTTCTGATTCACTTTTTGTATTTTTTATATTTTCAATGTCACATGATCTCAGGATGGAAGGAATGTGAAGTGGGCCTCTGACATCAGATGCTGCTCATTGGCAGTGCACACTTCTCTATTCTGAAGAAAAGACATGGACAGCAGCTATTGCCATTTAGACCATCTAGACAGCAGCTATTGCCATTTGTACTTTGTAAGAAGTTATGGACTAAATTTATGTCATAGCATCTGTGAACATAGTCATGTAATAAACTATTCCTCTGCAAACATTAAATATTTCATCTAATATAAGGACTTCATGATTATGTGTCTACCACATTAATTTATACTTCAAAATTATGCTTTTTAATATCATCTGATTAAAAGTTTAATGTATAAACCTTCAATGCATGGTGACTATTTAATCTTGAAGAAAATTCTCAAAATCTATTTTTGTTTTAAAAAAAAGATTCTTTATCCTAAATAAAAACTATTCTAAAAAATTATATGAAAAGTTATACTCTCCATTTAACAAAAGAGAATAAAACAAAAAACAATGCCACAAAAGAATGGCAATTTCTGATCAATGCCCCAGTATAACATATGCCTATTCTTTTCAAATTTTCATCCTAAATTTGATTTAATGAAATGGAAGTATTTGATATCTTGCAGAATAAAATTATTGAAGTTGGATGAATTACATCTACCAAAATTTTTTTTTTTTTTTTTGTTGTTCCTATGAGTCTGTAAACATAATTATTTACACTATTATTTCTGATATATAAAATTTTTTATGAATATGAACAAATGTATATGGATATGAAAACAAATTGCAGAAATGGCATGACTCTTCTGTTAACAATTATTGGCAACATCCCATGGAAAATCATACCAAATCTGACAAAAAAAAAGAAGCCATTTTTGAATTCAGCTACAGTATGTTTGTAGCAGTTTTTTTATATACATTTGAAACTGGGCTGCTGTAGACTTCAGTTGACTAATCATTATCAAAATAATATCAGCAAATAACTGCCCCCCCCAAAAAAAGAGACATACTTGTCTTCACCAAGGACAACACCAAATGCAGCATGATCTGCTCTCACTTCAGGAGGACAGATACCTAATGCTCTTCCAGCAGCAAAAACTGATTCTAAATGTAGAGACTATAAACAGAAAAAAAAAAAAAAAAAAAAAAAAAAAAAATCATGAACATTAATTATATAGATTTATAAGATGCAAGCCATTTATTAAAAAAACTATATGAGCAAAAAATTAAAAACCTATTACAAATATTTTAATTCAACACTATAATTTGAAGACAAATAATAATAGTAATAGTGATAATAATAAGCTTTTACTGAATAATATGAGGGGTCTATCAAATTCAATACTAATTTTGGCAGCTTCAAGATAATTTCAAATGTTAAATAGTTTTATATTATGTAGCGATCTTTAAAAGGTAGAATGACTGCTCAGAAGAATTATGAAAAACAAAATTTTTATGCGAGTGATAAATCACTCAGATAAAAATTTTGTTTTCCTGATTGTTTAAACTATGTACAATACAATCATAAATGAATATTTTAGATTACTGTGTAGACTGGTAAAAATTAGTCCCTCAGACTGTTTCTAGACAGCTGCAGACGGTTTGAAGTTGTGAAAAATCTTTTTGAAATATGAATCATCCTTAATAACAGATATTTTAGACATAAACAAACATTTTACATACAGTGATGATACACATGACCAACCACAAGTTTGATATAAAGTTCAAGATTATGATGTGTTTTATGTGGAGAACCTTGAACATTAACAATCATGAAGTTCTTAGCTACTTTAAAACTATCTGGCACACTTCACTAAAATTTTTACACTCCACAGAAATTTATTGAACACTTTGGAATGGATTTTTGATATTTGAAGTCAATGAAGATCTAGTCATACTTTAAAAATACATTCTCCTGCTACAAAATTTCTTTATCTTTAAAAGAGCACTTCTGGCATTAATACCTACCTGTCCAGCATCAACGACATAAATTATCCAATCAGCTTTTTCTTCTTCAATACGCTGCTTTAAAGCTGCAAGATCTGAAGTATCATATGTAAAACCACCATCAGATTTGACAATAGTTAAAGGTACACTTATTCCCTCAACGAAGAGAACTTTTCTACCGTCGTCCTCAACCAGAACACCTAAAAAATGAAATAATAATAATAAATACAATCAGTAAATTTTAATGAATTAAAAAAAAACTAATTATAATTATTAAACCATCCCGCAAGCATATTTTTAAGAATTTACTTACTGTCAAGTAACAGATTCTTTCATTTCAATTAAGCAATTACTTCCATGAGTTAAGTATTAGTATTTTTAAAATATTTTTATAATGTAATGCATATAATACTATTATTTTTAAAATGCATTATACAAAAATTTATACTACTTTTTCAAAGGAAAGTTTATAAACAATAAAAAGAAAACACTTTCTCTTATTACCACTAAGGCTGCTATCCCACGTCAGTTTGTTTCGGAAGAACAACTGTTTGGATCAATTTTTCTGCTCTGTCACAACAGCCAATCACCATAGATCACTTTGGGATTAACACAGGGGAAACTGGTTCCCCATTACAAACAAGCAGATAGCATTCAAAGCTGATAGCTGATTGGTTGAAAACAAACAAATTGCAATTTTTGTGGAAAGGAAGGAAAAAGTCACACGTCTTTCATTCAATAGTAAACCAGGCAGAAAAATTGTCCGAAACAGTTGTTCATGTGAAAGAAACACCATGTGATAGGCCCATAAGGCTCATTCATCATTATTGTATTTATGGCCTTCAAATTAAAAAAAAAGTACAGAAAAGCCTCATATTATGAATGCATAAATGAACCAAAAACTGTTCCACACACAAAATTTGGTTTCATAATATGAACATTTATTAATTTCCTTAAATATTAAACACAGAATCCTTTTTTCCTTTTCTTCCTCACTACATATGCACAAAAGGAATATTTCTGCCCCTTTAAAAAAAAAAAAAAAAAAAAAAAAAAAACTAAGGAGCAGGCTAGTAAATGCATTTCTTAATTTACATTATCTTAAAGAAAAACAAAACACAAAGAAGCCAGAAGGAAGATTTCGTTATTTTTTGCTTCTAATCTTCTTGCTCTGAATCTCTTGATAGATTAAGGTCCATAAATTTAGTGGTCAAGAGGCAAGAGTTATGCCTGTGATCGACTTAGATTTTGGGCATCTTTTACATGGCAATATAAATTTGCTCAACCAGGTCCCAATTTTGGAAGACAACAAAGACATCAACTCATTTTAAGTGCCCCTCTGTGGCAAAGACTCTATGAACTTACATCCATGCCTTTTCTTGTACTTGAATCCAGCCCCAAGGTTATGACACCACCAGTTTCCTTACCACATGCCAACAGGGTGGATGGAAAGTTTCTTTTGCTAAGTGGAAAGCAGTGGCATCCTAATAAAGATGAGGTGAACACAAGCCTGATCTTTTACTCTAAAGACCATGCTATTCACTATAAGGACTGTCTATTGATAGAGATGGAGAACTTTGACAACTTCTTGGAAATGAACATCTATTGAGTGTTCAATAAATAACACTCATTACACAGTAATGAATTAAAAATATTACATTAGTTAACATTTTTATTAAAAATGAGCAGAAGAAACTATCAATACAAAGTAATCAATGTAATGAAAAAATATGTAACAAAACTATAAATATAAAAAATCATAATAATATAAATTATTTTAATATTTTATATTAGCTAGTTTCATTAATAAACATAATATAACAACAAATTATTATTTTACAACACATCAATGGCATTTTCATGATATGATAATCTGCAAAACTTCATAATGTGCAAGAAAATATGTACAAATCAGTATACATAGTACCCAAAAAGGTTTCTCAGACGTATTGAAATTTATATAATTTGATGATATGCTCTTTGCTATATGTACTTAAGCACAATATTTATTAAACTTTTTTTTAATCTGATACACAGCAGACGTACAAATTTTATAGCTTAAACATTAATTAAAATAATGTCACATACCTTTACTTTCAAGTTCCTTCACTAATGATTTCATTCTTTCTTGATAGAAAGACTCACCTCTTTCAATAATTGTAACATCTAAGCGTTTGTAAATTTTACTAATTTCTGGAAAATAAACAAAACAAAATTTAAAATTATACACTTTTAGAAAGCTTAAATTTCACAATATTCAGTAAGATAAATTTTTGTTACATCAAATAAAAGCAACAATATGCTTCTCTTAAACTCCTTAAATACACTCACACACACACACACACAAAAGTAATCATTCAGGAATCAAATATATGTAACAATTTACTCTTTTTTTAGACATAAAAGAGAAATCATTTCAACATATCTAAATACACATTACATAGAAAGTTCGGTAAAAGTATAGTTTACGGTACCCCTTGGCGAAACTTGGCGATTTTTGGCAGTACATGGATACCGATTTTGTGCAATACTTTGACTCATTTTGGCTTGCGAAGCGGCGATTTTTGAGCCAAAGGCAAAGGCAAAGGTTTTGGCTACACGAAGCCAAAATAACAAGACAAACAGTTGCACAAACTCGGTATCCATGTACACATTGACTTATTTTCACTTAAAAAAAAACAAACCCCGAATTGCACAAAAATGGCATTGCACATTCCTTTGACTTTATCCATGTACACGTCAACCTATTTTCACTTAAAAAAAAATCCCAGAATTGCACAAACTTGCATTGCGCACTCCCTTTACTTTGTCCATGTGCACATCGATATATTTTCACTTAAAAAGTCAAAGGAGTACCAAATTCTACAATATAGGCAAACAAAAAATACATAAACTCAATAAAATACATTTTAAACCAAACAATAAAATAACATAAAAAAGGGAAAACATGTTATACATTTAAGCACTACCAAAAGCAAATATTCACTTAGCATGATTTTCGAGTTCGCTTTGTACACCAGAGCCCCATAAAAATCAAAATATCAATCATACTCAAATGACTTTTTCAAACCAGGTACTCTTTCTGATTGAACGCTTCACATAGTGACCATCTGAACCTTTCTTCCTACAAACCCATTCAAATCCATCTAAATGGTTTTAACACACACCACAAAAACACTTACAAAACATCCCATGATACAAAATTTCCCAGAATCATGCACCGGATTACGTCACAATAGGGTTTCCATAACATTGAACTACTCAGGCTACCATAAATGAAACAACAACTTAATGATAAATCAAACAACAACTTCGCCATAATACAAGGGGTACCTTAAAGTCTACTCTACCCGAAAGTTCATTACATCTGAAGTTTAATTTTGTACTTTCAAAAGTAATCAATAGAAAAATAAATACATTGCTTGAAAAATTCTTCGCAAGGAACACTATTGAGTTACATTAGTACATGGGCTACAAAGCTATGATTACCAGCTTTAAATATACAATATTATTGCATTCAAATTCTTTTATATACAATATAAACAAATAAAAATAATAATACTATATATGTACCATCTCTTGTAACATCACAGATCTGCTTCCAAGCTTTCATTATATTAGGTTCATATTGCTGTAGTTGCACAACACATGAATATGCTCTCTTTTTGAAATCTTCATCATTATCAAACCGCTTTTTAGATTCCTTGAAAGAAAACACAAATTTTGTTTTCAAAAGGTAATGAGGCAAAAATTAAACAAATTTAAAAGCTTATACTCATTTCATAGTATAAAATAATAAGGTCACTGGGAATGAAATTGGTCAACAAAAATAACAATATGTGCCCATATTGTTGACATTATAAAAAAATGCAGTTTATAACTGTAAATATCTTTATGACATTATAATATGAACAGTATATCACAGTTACTATAAGCAAAACCCTTGGCATACTATTATAAAGTCAGAATGTTTAAATATGGCCAAAATTTAAGAATCTATCAAAATATATATTTTTTCAATTTCACATTTCTTACCATAACATTCAGACTTGAATACTACATCAAATGTTTGAAAATTTATAGATAGATTCTGCAAATTTTATTAATAAATTCATGTAATTTCTTTTGCAATAAAAATTTATTTTTTTCTAATTTAAAGAAAAGTTAAAGAAAAAATTGCAAAATATGTTTATATTTACTCTTATATTTCAGGATAAAAACAACGATATTAATAGTATTAATCAATAAATAAAGCAAAGGAAGAAACAAGAAACAGAATGTTTAAAAGAATATGATTAACCCCTTGTCAGCTACATAATTAAGCAGTTCTTTCTTCCCAAATACCCACAACATCTGTCAGTCATAAATTCGTAATGCAAGCTGTGTTCATTTCCATCCGATGCATTGCATAATTGGAAAGCAAATTGAGTTCGCTGATGACCATCAACAGGTTAACTTTATTATTGCTACATTTCTCTCACATCTCTTTGCACATATACCAGGAATAAATAATTTTAATAGGAAAAGTGAAAATTACTTCTAGGTGGAAAATGGTTTTCACTGCTGCTTAAATTTAGTAAAAAAGTAATAAATTTTCCTTCTGCCTGTTCAAATGCACAAAAATAATAAAAGTTTGTAAATTAAGGAGAAAAAGTAAGCAACTTTTAAGCAAAGTATTTTTTTTTTTCTTTCTTTATCTTTTTTTTTATACAAATATATTATGACATACATTTATTAAACAAGTAATCTATCATTGGTTATGTGTAAGTCTAGATAAATTAATAAATTCACATTTTAAAAATGTAATCCTATAAAACTCAAATACTTTTATTTAACTTTTTGCATCTTTGCAAAATGTGACAACAAGTTTTGCAAGTTTCCAGAAATACTGTTTTGCTCATAAGGAAGCACAAAACAAATGAAATTTTATTCAACTGCAAGCACATATGCATGGCAATGCATGTATATAATATAATATTGATCACAAATAAGTTTTTAAAAAATTAATTCTAGTACGTTAATATGAATTGAGAAAACTTCAGATAAAAGATGCTAAAAAACACACACCATATGATAACACAAGTGTATTGTAAAGGATTCACTCACCTTATAAAATTCTTGCAAATTTTGAATAGATGGAGATTTATCAATATAATCTGGGAATGTATCTTGCAGATGAGCTATAAGCATACCAAATTGGGTACCCCAATCTCCAATATGATTTATTCTGAGAACATCATGCCCAGAAAATTCTAAGAGTCGACAAATACTTTCTCCAATAATTGTTGATCTGTATGTAAAAGTAATCTGTTTGAATATATTCTATGTAATACACATAATAAATAACAGCATAAAACAATGAACAATTATATTTAAACTATCAGTACAAAGTCTGAAATCCAGACTGGTCGGGACTTCTGCGATTCCAGATAATAGATCATCAATTTAAATCTGGTAAGATGGCATGGAGAAATTATATAATTAAAAATATGAAATCATAATTTATGAAATAAAGAACAATTACGATCTAAAGGGTATCAAAATTTACAATAAAAAAGGTTTAATATTTATTTGTTTGCTTTATTAAACATTTCTTTCAATGTAAGTGGTTTAAGATGCTTCCACAAAAATTTCAAAAAGTTCCTTTTTCTTTTTCTTTTTTTTTGTGTCATATACAGTGGACTTTCCAATGCCATACTCCTCGCATAATTTTGAGACAGATATGCCTCTATCCATTTTTTGCAGCAATTCCACTTTTTGTTTAATGGACATCGAAACATGGTTTCGCTTTGTAGATCGATTGACAACTCTAGAATTGGAAACTCTTTTGGACATAATCGAAAGTTCAACCTTAGTTTTTATAAAATTGCCGTAATAACAACAGTTTGCAAAAAATAATAAGCTGGATCAAATTAGAAGATCAGGGAGCAGCGCAGTCTGCTACATTAATTGAAATGCCTTAGAATCAGTAAAGAAAATTTTAGTTTAGCTCAATAGCATCCATTATACATTACTGGCTGTGTATCATAAGACTGGCGACGAAAGACAAGTTGTTTCCCTAAATTTTGTCTTGCTCCTATTGTGTACTGAATTAAGCCTGAATTGCATTAGTTTAGTTATTTACTATACATATGTTTATTTCTTGCACATGCTTCAAAATAATCAGAGTCCTGAATAAATAAACTCCCACATATACTTAAGGCTTAATCTAGGGCTGGCACTTGATACCGCCTGCTGCAGTCTCTACACGGGTCCTAAATTCTGCTATAAAGCGCTTCCTTAATTTCTAAATTTTCACCGTGCCTAAACTTTGGATCCCAATGCTTTCCCTAAATCATAATAACTTCTCATCCCTTAATTTTGGCACTCGGTGCTTCCCCCAATTCCAAAAATTTCGTCTTCCCTAAATTCTGCTGTCTGGTGCCAACATATTCTGCTGCCACTTCTGGTTTTATGGTGAATAACATATCAGTTATTCTTAATTAAAATAAAACTAAATGTAATCTTTTGGCATTTTTAGCATATGAAATGAAATTTTTGTTGAATTTTTCCTTGTCAACACTTCTTGGAATTTTTCCTTGTCAACACTTCTTCATTTAAAAATCTATAAACATCGCCAAGTGTAATGTTAGCATAAAAGGTTGCCATACTCTTGTTATTCAATTACTAATACAAAAAAAGTTTAGACATCACAGCATGAGTTATTACTGAAGCTGTCATGTATTGATAAACATGTGATGATGAAAGGGAAAATATAATAAATGATGACTCGCCAGGTCAGCATCAGGGATATAAAATATGTGAATGTTTTGGTTTGAGATGTATGCCAAGCAGATACTCAGCTACGAAGCCAAATTACTAATCTCACAAATTTATGCTTACATGATTGTTTTTCCATAACGAGGTATTTTATTTAGTGCCTAAGTGATATTAAGAATCTGAATTTTTAAGTGAAAATCTCCACATGTTTTATTATGGAAGGAAAAATCAAATGTGCATGCGTAAAGCATTAATAAAAAAAATGTTTGTGGCTTTGAGATCCAGATTTGAGATTATTCCACATAATGGATGTTCAGATTTCAGACTTTGTACCGTATTGGCCTTTGTTTATAATTTGGATTGTTTATTGTGCATATTTGCTTATTTACTTAATGCATTTTGAACAGTGATTCTACAATGTTTTTTATGTATTCTATATCATTTTTAAATGAAGGCCACTTACTATGTTTATCTGAGTATTTTATATACTATTTGGTAGACGTTTTTGCAATTCTGCATTGATTTATGTTGGAATTTCCAAGGTTAGTTCATGCATAACAAGAAATATGGACAGAATTATTTTTGAAATTTCAGGAGAACATATTTTCAAAGCGCTAAAAATAATTATTCTGGAAGACTCCAGAAGTGCTCACCCTTGCTTCAGAGCAATGCTACATATGAGGTCACACTGGAACCAGAAGTCCGCTCAGACTATTGCAAATGTTTTATGAGACAGCTTCTAATTGACTTTTATACTGCTCTGTAAGCAATTTTGGTGATCAAAAATATTCCTTGTGTGTTATCAGGAATTTTGCTTTACATCTCATTACCTTCTTGGGGTTAACTACAGCTATTTATCTTGCTTGTAAGGAGTGTTTCTTAATAAATTTTAAGTCTTCTTATTAACCTGGTTTAATTATTTAAAGAGATTTCAATAAATTCATAGTTATGCAACATTAGTTGGACACCATTTTCATTTCAACGCTTTCAACAAACCCTGTCTGTGATCTGATCTACACCAGTGGATAAATTTAATGCCTATCTTTAGTAAATGGTCTTATGGTGACAACTGCGTAAAATGGATCTCAAGAAGAATATAAAGGTATGCGCATGAGAAGAAACAAATACAGTGCAATCTGCACAGTAGTTGCTATCACTTGGCGAAGCATAATTTCCTGTCAACTCAATACTGGTTTAATTTTTTTCTCAAGTTTTGCACTATGATCAAGTCACTAGCCAACCTAATGGCTAAAGTGTTTTCAGATATGCGGGAAAATTACAACTTGGATCGGTGACTGTGTGAAAGGGTCATAACAAGTTTACCCAGGAAATGCTTCCAGACAACTCTGTTGCCTTTTCATCCATCGAATTCAGCATTTTGAAACTGCTTGTTGCTTGGCAAAAAATTAATCACTAGGGATTTGATGATTTTTTGGGAGGATGTGGGGTGTAGATAATCAGAAAGTAGAGTTCTTACATTTAGACCTCCATAATTTTCAATAATATTAAAGATAATTAAGAAATTTTTACCTCAAATGGCCAACATGCATTTCTTTTGCTACATTTGGTGAAGAAAAATCTACTACAACTTTCCTTTTTTTAACTGGTGGTGGCTTCACTCCTTCAGTAAGCAGATAGCTTACACGCTGACTACAAAAACTTGGTTTTATTTTTATATTTATAAAGCCAGGTGGAACAACTTCAATAGTGTCTATAACAGAGTCACAAGAAACATGGGCTACAATCTTTTCAGCACACGGCAAAGGAGATAATTTCATGCCTTTTTGACGCATAATCTGTAAGAAATGAAACTATGTAAACTTTTACAATAAATAAATAGCTGAAATAACTTTTACATTAATAACATAATATCACTGCTACAGATAATCATTAATGTATACTGTAAAATATATTATACATAATCACAAAAATATTTTGTATTTTAAGCCTTGAAACAACACATAAAATTATTTAGATGGATGTTGTTTTATTTACTAGTTACTTAAAATATTTAATAATATGATCAAAATTTAATTACTACACATTCTAATAAATACAATAGAGAAAATTAAAATTACATGTCATAAAGTATCATATAAGAATGTGCAACTATTAATTTTTTGAATGCTTCATAATAAGCATTTAATATTGCTCTTAATAACATGAATAAAATACTGGTCCCTGATGTAATGTACTTGAGAAGTTGAAACTAGTATGGTTAAATATTTCACAAAATGTTACAGGATGCTTAAGAAAGGGTTAAAACAAGTTTATGTTTATGGGCATTCTCTTAGCAATTTACTTTTATGATATAATAAATTAATTTATAAAATAAAAATCATAAAACCAATTAAACTGATATTGACTAAAACATGTCTAAACATTTTAAATTATAGGCATTCAACTTTCACACTGTGTTACGAAACAAAAGCATTCTGAGCGTAGTAATCAGCAGTACTTGGAGATTTTTAATTATTAAGACTGCCTGTTTTATGTTTGTTATATTTTGTGCAAGTCCTCAAGAAAGAAGAGAAGAACCACTAGAGTAATAAATTATAGATGAAGAACACAGTATTGGCCCAAGAAAAATACCATAATTTCTTAATTAAGGCATAAGGCTTGCCAAATGTCAGCTGTCAGAAATTTAAAAAAAAAAAAAAAAAAAAAAAAACTTTTTATGGCTTTACAGTCAGCCCAAAGTATAGTTAATTGATGTTGCGCAGGAAATTTCAAGTACTGACAGCAAGCGTTTGACAATATATTTTCTTTTTTAATATCACAACTAAGTATTGACAATATATTTTCTTTTTTAATATCACAACTAAGTATTACGTTATGGACCAAGGATAGAGCAGTGCTCAAATAAAGAGATCCATTAGCTTTTAAGTAGCAGAGCAGTGATTGGCCCGTGTAAGTATTAATTAAATCTTAATTTTTTATCATATTATTCTAAAAATGTAGAAATACGAGTTCCTTCTGAGCAAGAAAAATGGTCAAATAAATTAACATCTCATACTTCTCAAAATAACCTCCTCATCAGAAAAGCAGTCATTAATCAAAATATATTAATGAGGATAAAAGCATGATATTAGCATGTTTAACGTAAACACTGAGCACAATTTTTTAACATTAATGCATCTATATCAAATTTGATAAACATTGAGTATATTCAAGATGCTCATCTAAAACTATTGTTCTTATTTTAATTTTATATGCTTCACATATGCTGGGGAGCAATTTGCAAATAATATGCTTTCAGAAAGATAAAATATTCATAAAGCACCAGAAAATATTCATTAAGTAGAGCAAAACATAAATTCTTGTTTAAAACATTTCAAAATTTACTTCATGTTGCCTGCATAATATCAACTCTCTATCTTCACTCTGACATCAATTAGGAGTAGCAAATACACTGATTACAGTACCAAACATTACTGATATGAAATTTATGTTCTCTGTATTTTTGGAATCACTCCTCGGCATTATGTTCGGCCCGTGGGAAAAATGAGGGCGGAAATTAACGAGTTTTAAGAGTTTCTAATTAATATCTCCGATGTTAGCTTTTTTTTTTTTTTTTGAAAAAAGTGAATGTTGACCTTTTTCAGGACACAGAATGGTAGAAAGTTTAGTGACGATAGCTATAGTAGTGGCCGAGTTAATCGTGAACAGACTTACAAACAGACATTCTTCTTTATATATTTAGATTACTCATGCACGTCTCATGCTATTTTAAGGAATATGCAATACACATATATTAAATAAAAATATTATTAAATGTTCTAATTAATGATTTTGAATATCTACCTGAGCAATATTCATTGCATTATTGCACTGATAATCACCAAATTTTTCAGATGTGCTTCTAGTAACATTGCAAACAAAATTTTGAAGATCAGGAAAGCTTTGTTTTATCGCAGACGAAAATACATGCTGCAAGACATTCAGAACAGATCCCTGAAGCACAGCAGTTTGAGTCAATTCCTTGGCACGCTGAAAAAGTTTAAAACCTTAGATAAAAATACTATTAAATTATGATCACATTTCTACTGATTTTATAACATTTACTACACATATTTTAGTCTCAAAATAATGCATTAAATTTAAGCAAAATTCAATATTTTAAAGATTTTTGTTGATAATGAAAAAATTTGCTAACACATCAACCGTTTTCAGCTCACTTGCTCCATCTGTATTCCTCCCCTTAACAGGAAGTGTTCACGGCTGTGACAAGGATATGGATACGTCACAGACACACAAGCTAAAGTTGTACCGCTATTATTTCCTACAATAGCAGATTTCTCGGAATTAGAATTAGTGTTGTGATGTTCTTGGTAAGAGATTGAAACAGTTTCAGTCTTACATAGGTTGTGCATTTGTGCTTGTTGTGTATTTTGCCGACTGGTTTGTTCATGTTTAAATATTTCATCCTTATAAATAGATGAACATGAGCAAGGAACTGCAGTTTTGGAATGAACAAAAGAAGTTATGGCCTCATAAACTTCATACAATTGAAACAAAGATGGAAATAATTAAATGTTCTGAAAATGGTGAATCTTTTGCTTCAATCAGATGTGTGTTTGATGTAAACAGATCCATGTTATGTTCAATTTTGAAAAATAAGAGTAAATTCAAGCAATACTTTCAAAACTGTGGAAATATATCTTCAAAGATTGTCTCTAAAAGACACAGTATAGTTGTGAATGAAATCGAAAGCTCTTTTGTCACCATGGATTGATGAACAACATTAAAATAATGTTTCTCTACGTTTTTTAACTATTCAAGCTAAGGCCCTCAGTTTGCATAAAGATTAGAAGACTAGATTAAACGCAGATTCAAACATGGTGTTTTAAGCAATTAATGACTGATTCAGCATATTTAAAATGAGAGACTTTTTACAAAATATTAAATTCAGTGGAGAATCGGATGATACAGACAAAGATGCTGCGAAAGAATTTATTTCCTCATTCTCAAAATAATTGTAGATGTAGAGTATTCTTTTATTCAAATATTCAGTGTAGATGAGATGGCTTTATTTTGGGGAGAAAGAATGTCTAATTGTATATTTTTATTGAAGGAAGAATCAGTTACGCCAGGACATAAAACTGATTGATATTGCTTCTTGGTGGAACTTGGCTACTGATTTAAAAATGAAGCCATTGTTAGTTTACCAAGTGAAAAATCCCAGAGCTTTGAAAGAAAAAGGTAAAGAATTGCTTCCAGTCATTTAGAAATCAAAGAAAAATGACTGGGCTACTGCATCAATATTTATAGATTCGTTTACTTTTCATTTCATGTCGAAAGTTAAGCAATATTGTAAAACAAAAATTTACAATTTAAAGCATTATCAATCATACACATGCTCCAAGACACCTAAAATCTCTGCAGAATTTATATCTTGAAATCAATGTTTTGTTTCTTCCTCCCAATACTACCTGCTTCATATAGCCCATGGACCAGACAGTAATAACTATGTTTAAAGGATATTAAATTAGGAACAATAGTGACTAAAGCCATCAAGGCAACTAATAGGGAAGATGAGCCAACATTAACAGATTTTTGGAAGAACTATAATATATGGAACACAATAAACAATATTGGGAGATTCGTAGGCTGAACTAAAAAATTCAACAATGAAAGGTTTCTGGAAACAATTATGCCCACAAATGATGAGTGATTCAACATTCGCACACACTTTCAGAAACCAATTATGTGCAAAAGTCAAGGACCACCTGTAATGTTAGTTTTATAAAAAAAATGTGGATTTCAAGGAAGGCTGATATCATCTTTTCCTTTTAAGAACCAAAAATAGAAAAAAAAAAAACAAATTAGTATCCTTCTCTTATTTACATTTATATATCATACTAGAAGCAAGTTTTCTGTAGTTTTAGTCATAGCTACATATATGTACAAAAAGAAACATTCATATATCCTATTAATGAAGTTACAGCTAAATATTAAATTACCATATATTCCAATGTATAACGTGCACATTCAATTTAAAAAATAAGATCAAAATTTGCGGGTACACACTATACACTGCATACAAAAATGATAGATGATTTAAAAATAAGGAATGAGCATTAAAAAAAAAAAATATTTTTAACTGTATCAAAATGATGTTTATTTAAAAGAGATGACATACCTTACGACCTTTAAGATTTTCATTATCGGATATAACATGAAAAGTTCATTATATTCTATTATATCTTCAGGCACATCATTGTATTCTGTTTCATGCTCACAATCACTGTTTCTCTGATCCGTAGATATACTGCACTTTTTAAATTAATGAAAAACATCAAATCTGCATCAAACATCAAATGACTTTTGAATTACAACAGGTTTAATTTCATTCCATGCTTTTATTATCCACTCACACAATATTTCTAAACTGGCATTAGTCTTCTTTTTGTAAATGTTTTCCACCTGTCCCACAATCGTTTTAAATTTTCTTTAAAGGGTTTATTGATACATGCATGTAAATGCTGAACTAGTGACGTTAATCTGCCTGGAACAACTGCCATGTCTGTATTGCACTCTTTCAATAATTTCTTTGTATTATCCGAATGGATAATCTCTTCTAATGATGATATCTGAACATATCCCAGATTAAGACTTTCTGGATTCTTTAAGACAAAAGGATGCTTTTGCCAAACATTTCTTATCCACAATTTCACACCATTTTCGTCCATTCATCCTTTCTCATGAACATGAATGAAAACACTATTAGGGGAATAACATTTTGGCATTGTCTTTCTTTTAAAAATAAGCATGAGTTTTGAACTGTTTGCTAAGCAGGAAAGCACTATGGTGACGTGAGATTTTCATGAACCGCTTTTATGAGAACTGTTTTTGTTCCTTTCACATCAATTGTTTTATTTCCTATCACATCAAACATTAGTGGACTTTCATTCATATTTCCATTATATGACAATAAATACTTTTTTACCTTTGTACATCAAAACCATACTTCCGGAAACAAATTTTTCAGAAGCCTTTGTGAAACTTTTGTTTTTCCTCATAGAACTAAATTATTCCATACCATAAATTTACTACACTAACTCAAAGTTGCTTTAAATTTTTCACTTTCATTTGCATTCTTTTTGGGCCACTTTAAGGAAAATAAACATATACCATTTCCTGTCACAATTAATCTATTCTGGCACTTTACTAGGACCCAGTTTACAAAACTTTTTCCTAGGAAAGGCCATTTTGTTATTCCTCTTACGCAAAGCATATTTATTCTCTGGCATATTAATTATTGTGATTTCATTTTTCTCATGTACAGAGCTTAGGTTTTATTTCATGAATTATATGTTTGAACTGTTGTAATAATTCAATACAAAATTAATAACAAATGCATGGCTAGTATTGGATGTAGATAAAAAAAGAAATGAAACCATTCCACAGTTTAAGATATACCATGGCACATGCTGAAATTGTGGGTGAAGAATCCCCCCCCGGCACTGTATTAGGATTCATTTCATCAGATTATATTTTCGAACTATTGTAGTAATTCAACACAAAATTAATAACAAATGCATTGTTAGTATCAAATGTGCATAAAAAACAAAATAAAAAGCATTCCACAGTTTAAGATATATCTTTCGAATCAAATCATATTTGAAGAGTTAATTCGTTGTAACATAACGATTGTTAAATAAAATACTAAAGAAGTTTGCATGAATTATAGAGAGAGATATTTTAAAAATATTATGTTTGGTTACTACTCTTATATGCGCCCTCAGGTCGAAAAATGTGGCGATATGTGTGGTGCACTGATTTTTGGCGCAATTGCATGTTCTGCGATGGTTTTGGGGCTGATGTTGTTTTTTATGGCAACCCTTTTTACTGTAGTGGTTTCAGTTGCTAGTTGGTTCCTGATTTATGATGCAATGAAAGACGACTTGGCAAAATTTTAGTCGCATGCCTGGTACAACTATTTTTTAGGGTGGCTGGAAATCCTATAAGTATTTAGGAGAAGGTTTTGAACATTCATTTGTGAAAGATAATATCAATTTTGTGGATAGTGAGTGTGGCTGTCATATAAATAGGATAAGAGATTACGCAGCGGCATGTTAAAGCTATGTTGCCTACTTATAATTGTAAATGCGATTTTGTGTTTTATTTGGTGGTTTATATATTTTTCCATCGTTGTTCTGAAACGGGAGAAGATGCTTTTAACAAATTTATGGTGATGTTTGAAATTGGTATTTCTGCTGTTCAAAGAAGCATTCATTCATGGTAATTGCATTTTATAATTTACCATGAATCTCCATTCTTGTTCTTATTTTGTAGAATGTTATGTTCATTGTTTTTTTAGTATGAATTTATGTCATTATTGTTGTCTTTTTGAATTGTTTGAAATTTATTTTAGTTTATTTTGTTGATTAGTGCGCAATGCCTAGACTGTGTAATTTGTAGATGTTTTTAAAGTTTAAACAAAACGCTGTGTACATTATATTCTTGAAATGTATCGTTGTTATGTTAATTTATTTAAGCTAGGTGTGCGTAGTTCATAGATTCCTTCGCTGCATAGATAGTGCAATTCTGTGATTTTTTTTAAAGTTAAAACATATCGCTGTGTACATGGATTCTTGTCAAATAATTTTGGTTAGAAACTTTACATTTTTGCTATTTAAATTTTTTGTTTTTGTTTCGGATTTTTAGCTTAAATTGTGTGTTCAAAACGTGGTTTTTGCAGGTGCGAAAACCACGTTTTGGGAGACATTTTAGGCTTAAAGTTTGAAATGTAGACAAAAAATTTAGACACTATGGCACCATGGCTATATTGGTGAGCGCCAAACGAGGCGGTATATAAGAGTAGTTCCTTATGTTTTTGAAAACTGCTTGGAGGGATAGATCAAGAATTATTTGACCATAATGTAAGTAAAAATATGTTTAGTTTTTAAACTCTGTTTTCTTTATAATCTTTTTCATAAAGGTAGGATCATGGCTATATTGGAGGGTAGGATCGGTTATATAGCACTAAATTTATTATGCTTTCATAAAATAGGCATCAAAAATAACAAATGTAATATTTATGATTTATTATTTTACACGCAAAACAAACCACTTTGAGTACCACTGCATGCAATAATGGTGTTCTGATGAAAGTACTTAATGCTTTGTTACAAGAATTTTTTAATTTATATTCTTTATCATTAATATGGACAATTTTATTTAAAAATAATTATATTCCAGATGAATGTGAGAAATGTTACCTCTTACTGGATTTATACAACAGCAGTATACCTGAAAGAAGTACATCGTAATTTTTTAGATCATATTAAAACAGCATATCGGAGCAGTGGAATATTTTGCAAATTAGTAAATATATTTAAAATTTTCACTGTTATTTTCCACCATTTAGAGTCAGTACAAGTTTTATTATTTGGATAAAATTAAGTAAAATAAAGAAGAGAACGCTACATCAAATCATTAATGAAGTTATGTAGATTATGTAGATATTTCATGAATATCATGCAGGAAATATCTAAAAAATCTAGATAACAATTTCATGAAATTTACTTAACTAAGGTGTTTTCACTATGTGTTTATGAATGATATCAAAAGTCTCTTAGGAGGTTGTTCTACCATGAATAAAGGCTAAATTATTTAATCAAAACTCATTGCTGCAAAGGCCTTCATCAAACATTCATGACGTGTTTTATAGTGTATTCTTATTTAATGGATTAGATAGTTTAAAACTTAATTTTTATGACTATGGTTTTAACTTAATTTCATTACTATTTGCAAACATGTAAAAGTGCAATACTTTTTAAAATTAGTTACATCATTCCAGGTTTGCTTCATTCAAAATGCAGTCAAAATACTATGAATTTTTTGTCTATTAAGTATTTCAATATAATTTTACTTCATGTCCTGTTAAAAACACCAAGGAGTTAACTTAAAACATTAACATAAATTTTCAGTTCCTCATAAAAATATAATTTGACGGAACTACTCTGATATGCGCCCTCAAATCGCCAAATTTCTCGCCAAATATTTTTGGCGAGAAACTTCACGCTGCCATATTACTATCTAATTTTTTTGTCAACATTTCGAACTTTAAGCCTAAAATGTCTCCAAAAACACGGTTTTCGTACATGCAAAAACTACGTTTTGAACACACGATTTAAGCCAAAAATCTGAAACAAAAACAAAAAATTTAGATAGCAAAAACGTAAAGTTTCTAACCAAAAATATTTGACGAGAATCCATGTACACAGCGACATGTTTTAACTCAAAAAACATCTACAAATGGCACACTGTAGGCAACGAACGAATCTACGAATTACGCACACCTCGCTTTAATAAATTAACATAACAACAATAAATTTCAAAGAATATCATGTACACAGCGTTCTGTTTCAACTTTAAAAAACATCTACGAATTGCACAATCTACACTAAAAACAAATCAAGAAAATAAACTAAAATAAATTTCAGACAATTCAAAAAACAACAATAAAAACGGAAATTCATACAAAAAACAATGAATATAACATTCTACAAAATAAAAACGATAAAATAAAATGCACTTACCATAACGAAAGCTTCTTTCAAAAGCAGAAATATCTTTCCCCCCTATCTTCTCAGATACAGAGCATACAAAGTCCAAAATACATTCGTTAATAAAATTTCGTCAGTCACACAATGTCTGTGAAGAAAACTTCCACGATTTTGCTATATCACATGCCTTCATACGATTCAAAATTCGAAAGTAACAATAAAAACTTCCTCCAACGTTAACTTGCTACACGAAAACCAAGATCCAAACCTTAAACTCCGCTGACACCCACATACTTTATTAGCAACAATTTTACTGCAAACCCACACAAGTCTATCAGAAACACCATTTTTCGTCTGAGTTCTCACATCAGCTCCGCATTTAGGACATGTCAAACTCCGTTTTAAAAGTCCTGACTCCCACAGAAATTCCAAAAATACACTACGATCCCCATAAATACATCCGTGAACAAAAGACTCGTTAACAACTCCAACATCGTACCTTTTCATACTAAATTTACTCTGCACACAATCTAAAATACGCGGCTGAAACCTTCCCACCACGTCTTTCATCGCAATATAGGCCATTTCAAAAACACACGCGACACGAACCAACTAGCAATTAAACAACTCCACCAAAAGATTTTTCAACGTCGACATGGTTGCCATACAACACGCAATCGCACCAAAAACCGCGCAAAACACATATCGCCACATTTGGTGAAATTAAGGCGTTTATCAGAGTTGTACCAATTTGACATTAAGTTTATAACCAAATAAAAGGAATTAATCAAATATAAAAAATGTAAGCATTGATCACAAAAGTAAAAGAGAATAAAAAGAGAGAGAATTCTTACCCTTTTTAAAATTCCAATTCTATATTCAATTTTCTCATTTTCTGTCATTAAAGCTGCAATATGTGGTGGGGCATCTTTCTTGGAGACTTTCATGTTTTCAATATTTTTTACATCTTCTACAACTTGAGTATACATGGATTCCTGAAATTAAAATGCTCACTTTTAATAAATAATTCTCTAGAAACAAAATTTTTCATTCTGAAAGAAAGTTTGTAAACAATAGTAAACTGTGTACAATGGATATCATGCTTTCAAAAGTGAAATCAGATACTTAAGGCCAAGGTTTCAAATATTTTGTACTCTTGATCTCCCCATGTGTTACAATGCACAGCATTAAATAGGAATTTCATAGATTTATTATGATATGGCCAGTTAAATACAAAAATTCAGTTTAAAGATTCCATACTGAGGCATTTAAAGAAAATTTCCTTTTCTTCACCGAGGAACCTTATTGTCCTCAATGTTATTTATTTTCCATTTCAATTACGATAATTCCATACTCACACATTTAATTAACCCCTTAACTGCCGCAGGCGTATATATACGCCTTGCTCAGCCGATGCGTTAACTGCCCCAGGCGTATAATACGTCCTTCCAAACTGCTATCATTTGCTTTGTGCTGCTACACCTAAAATTATTCGCAAAGTTAACGCATCGGCTGCGCATCTGGGGCAGTTAACGCATCGGCTGAGCAAGGCGTATATATACGCCCGCGGCAGTTAAGGGGTTAAAAGAATGGGCAACTAAATGTTATGACAACATAAATGCTACCTACACTGGCAATTAATTTAGTAAACATGTATCAAATGACTATTCTGAAGTATTTGTTTCTGTCTAAAAGAAAGATAAAAAAATTAACGGAAATATTAATATATGAATAAAGTTGTTTGCCCTTGTCAGTGCTCAGTGATTTTAATGAAAGAGCATAGTTTGTTACAGTCCTCCAGCAAAAAATCTTATATGAGTTATCTGTAAAAGTGTACAGTTTTTTTTACAATATATTCAAGTAGCAGAATTAAACATAACTTATAATCATATTCAGTACCATGATCATCATCACTGAAGTTCAATATCGTCTGGAATCATGACTTTCTATCATAGGTAGGTTTAACATTATCTTCAATATCAGGATAAAGTTATTTTGATTTTGCTTAGGTTTATTATAATCATCATGATTACTTTTCATTCCTTTGCAGAGTATCATGAGATATTGGTGTACCTGCATAATTGGTATACTTGCATAATGATTTTACTTTTAAATATAATCATATGGTAAGAGAATGATATTTTATTCAAACGATTTTAATCTGAAATCATCAGTGTATTCTTGTATTCTGTTATAACCTCCTGCTTCAATGTATGAAATGAAAATAGTATAGTAAAGTACTTTTTTATTAGAGAGAGAGAATTTTATTATTTTACTCGTTTTAGTTATCTATCTGAATAAGATTTATGAAAATTGAAGTCATTCAAAGCTAAATCATGTAAACTGACTGCATATTTGTTTCAAAATATTCAGTTTTGATGCTGTAAACTTTTTATAAAATTAACTTGTAGGGTTTCTCATCCTTTGTCTATGATGAAACGTCAAGGAACCTAGTGAACTATGCAGTGACTAATCGCTGAGTTTAGAGCAACTAAGCCATTAACTCCAGAAAAGTTAAATTACCCTTTTATTCACTCAAATAAGAATAACACTCAGCCCCTTCTCGGGCTTCAAGAAAGCCTCTACTCAAGCTTTAACTCAGAATGAGAAATTAAAACTAAGCTAAAATTAACTAAATGAGACTTAGACAAAGATAGACACTATTATCCAATGTAGTTGGCCCTTGATTAAAATAGCCGGCAAATAGCAATAGGCTCGTATAATATGGCCGAGAATTACAGCTTCAAGAGCACCTTAAGCAGAAGGCAAACATGCACCAATAAGGACTCCTAGCATTCTCTATCAAAGCAAGCTGAACCTTCCTTAAATACTTCTAACTCATTTGCATTCAATGTGACCCTAAAAGCTCAGTCTGGTAGGAAGTTGTAACTAGAAACAAGAATTGAAAGGAGAGGGTTAAAATTTATTTATAAGCTCTTTCATTAGAATGCAGAATCAATTACTGAGCACTGACAATGGCAAATAACATTTCTGTTAATTTTTTTTTAAAATTTTCCTTTTAGATAAAAGTAAATACTTTAAAATAGTAATTTGATACATGTTTACTAAATTAATTGCCAACGTAGGCAGCATTTATGTTGTCATAACATTTGGTTGCTTACTTTCTTAATTAAATATGTGAGTATAGAATTATCTTGCAGAGTCTTGTTCTTTTAAGGAGCATAAAATGTAGACTCTACCGAAGATGAGATAGAAAATTCTTGTGACAAACAAACAAAACAGATGACTGGCAACAAAAGTTATAACAACTTTTTTATTTTAACTAACCTGAACAGAACATGCACACACTCAAGATCACAAACAAACTACCACTTGTGGCTAAGTAATGTCAGCACAAACTAGTATGTATAATCAGAATGAATCAGATTTCAACTACATGACTGGCTCCTACTTCAATCTAAATCAGATTTATCGGTTGCACACAGCAAAGCGAGTCTAAAATATCAAATAATCTAAAAAGTAAGCGGGGTTGATCTTTGGATTATGGTAACTTGGCGATTTTTTGGTGAAAATTTCGCGACCAACTCTGCTACAGCAACCCTCTATTTTTTTTTTCGCCGCCATTTTGTCTTCACAAAGTAAAGACACGTTTCTTTTCTTTTTATTTACTCAACACTTTTTACAACAATCTACTAGCCGAATTACACTTATGCTAGAAATTTTATCTAACAAAACTGCTTAATCATGACAAATATTCACTGCAAAATTGGGAAAAAGTGCACAATTGCAAACTCCTTGCGCGTTTTTCAGAATAGCACATACACATAAACCATTTACACGTCGACTCATTTTTACTTAAAAAAACATCCCAGAATTGCACAAAAATGGCATTGCACACACTCTTAACTTTATCTATCTACACTGCTATTTTCTCATAAATTAGAAAAATTTCACGAAAATGCATGAAATACTCAACGTATACTACTCAAACATATTCCAAAATACTACAAACGTATAACTCACAAAATCATGATCATTAAATTAAAAAAACACTACTTAAAATATAAATAAGCACATACATTAAATTAATAAACATAAGATTACAATCCTAATTACTTTAAACTAAATCATTGCTAATAACAATTTTCCAAAAATACCATATTAATTTATTTACTCCTTACATTTAGAACAATGCATAAAAATAATATTTTCAAATGATTAAAAATACTAACTTACCTAATCTTCTTCAGAATTTCATTACGCGGCACGCACACTTCCCTACAGAATAAGTTCCAATCGGCTGCAATACTACTGCTAATTTCTAAATCCGAAACCCAGTAGTCAACTGGCAGTCTATTCACCCAGTAATAAGAAATTAATAAAATTTCACTCATACTCAAACTACTTTCAGCAAACCACGTACCCTTCCTTACACTCCGTTTCACAAAATGTCCATTTTCACCAGATTTCTTGCACCGCCATTCAAACTTATCTTTAATATCCTTCCTTTCACACAATCTCAACTTATTATCAGATAAATGCATTAAAAATTTAGAATTCACTTTATATAGCGCCATGCAATCCGAAAATTAATCAACACTATTTCACACAACACACAATGAAGCTTAATACAAAATAATATAGTACTACAGATATTTTTCCAAATTTACCCCCTTTTCCGATTAAAGAACTGTAATTCGTCCATTAATGTCACATGACATATCTCATGATCTCTCATTTCCCTCACACAAAATAATGCGTAATCAGAACTGAGTACTTCTCACATTATTACCAAAGTCCTAGGTAGTAACCTTTATTGCTTCCAAAATGTCGCCATACTACCTGTTACCATATTCCAAAGATCAGCCATAAGCTGCTAGCACAAATATTCAAAGAGTAAAGTGCAGAATCGCCCACTTATATGGCGCATATTGATGTGTACATTAACAAACTCAAGGGAGTGCACCTTGCCAAGTTTGTGCAATTCTCTGATGTCTTTTTAAGTGAAAATAGGTTGATGTGTGCATGGATACTGAGTTTGCGCAATTCTTTGACTTGTTATTTTCAAGTTGTCGATTTTCAGAAGCATGTAAAGCAGTGGGTGATTTTGCACTTTCCACTATTCAACTCCAGAGTTATTTACAACTCGCAGCATAAATCTCACTCGCAGGATAAACTTGTTATAATAATAATAATAGGCATAATCCTGCTGCTGTGCCTGTAACCAGCTCTTCAATTCTACTACTTAAATACGATTTCTGAACTCAATGAGATTTGCATTTAAATTTGCATTCTGGTGGGAAACTGAAATTAGGAGGGATAGGGAAGTTTCTTAAAATAATGAAATTCTTATTTTATGCAGTGCATTGTAACATATGGAGAGATTAAAAGGTACAAAATATTTCAAACCGCAACTAGTTTTGATTCTGGTAATTTTTTACACTATTAATTTTTGTAATAAAATCTATCCAATAACAACATATAGTCTGAATTTTATGCATAAAAATAATCCCATGAAAGATTGACTAAAGTGATGATTATCATACAGCTAGGCAACTAACTAAAACTGACAGCAGCACGAAATCTCATTAAAACTACTACATACGGATCCAGAGGATTTTAGTCTTCTGTGGTAGTAGTCATCAAAGAGGAATAATATAGATGTTCAAATGAAATGTCGGCTAGATAAAATCCCGATTTCAAAACTTCACTAAATCGACTAAAAGCCGAAGGCCATCAAAGAACTATAGAAAAAATGAAATCACATATTTATGATTAAGCATGATATTGAAATTACTCGTCCACGCTTTTATAAATACAATTACTTTCACGATCTAATTCAGGCACTTTAATCTCTAAACATTAAAAAACATAACTTACCAATCGATTAATACTTTCGAATTGATCCATGATGGTTACAAAAGGAATAAATTTATACACCAGCTCCTCAGACACACGAAGGCACTCTTAAAACACAAATACTTTTTAAACTCACAACACGCCGGATAGCCTAAATGTTTAAATGCAGACGGCACTCTCATACCGTCTTCATCTCATTGGTCTGATTTTCCCCTTTCTCCCTATAACAAATTTTCTTCGGTATTAAGGTTTTGTAGTAGAAGGAACCCCCCCCCCCCCCCCCCAATTTTATTTAAGACCTTAATTTAAGCTTTTTTTTTTTTTTTTTTTTTTTTATAATCTAACAGATTATAAGATGCGGATATATCATACGATTCTTTTGTTTTTATCTCATGAACCGAAAGAGAGTTCTTTCCCTTTATAAATCTCTCAAACCGGAAATGGCCAGAGACTGGCTTTTAAAAGAACAGACGCAGGCATGGAGGTTAGATGCTGAAGCCGATACTCCAATCAAAGTGATCATTAGGGGATTAACTGATGACTCCAGTATTATCGAAATCAAAACTGAACTGTGTGAAGCCGGTTATCCTGTTTTGAAGGTTATCCAATTCCCTAAAAAATCTGATGGTGTTGTGACGAAGTTACCAGTTTTCTTTATCTCTTTAAAAAGAGATGACATTGGACGTAGCATTTACAAGAAGTGCACACTCTTAAGCACACTCTTAGAGTGAGTATTCGAAGTGCACACTCTTAGAGTGAGTATTCGTAATATCATAGCAATCGCAGCTACATGATGTGTTTCAGATGCCAGCGTTTTGGCCATGGTCAACAACCTTCCAAGATGCTTAATTTGTGGCCAAGATCATCTCACGTATGCATATAAACGTCCGAAAACGGATCAACCTACTTATGTCAAATGAGGAAAAAATCACGTAGCCTTATTTAAAGGTTGTGAACTGTATCCAAAGCTTCGCAAGTCTCAATGATGAAAGGAAAGCTCATCAGCCACCCAAGAACTATAAAAGAGCTGTCTCCACACATAATGTTTCTACTCCTGTGTCTAAAGCTTCAAATGATTCTTCTGCACCCTCAGAAATGGATTTTGAAATAACTAAAGATGTTGTCAGCAGATTGATTGCATTTGTTGATTCATTCAAGAAAAAGAAGACTACAGGTAAAAAATTTAAGGTCTTGTTGAACGTTTAGATGGCATTGATGTTTAATTTACATCTGCTTCTGAAAGATGACTGTCCTAGTTCCTTCTAGCGTCGATAGATGGCTCCACCTTACGGTGACTTTTCTTGATGTTCTGCTTTCCTCCGCCCTACGAGGTTCGTAGCCCCTCCTGCTTCAACCTATTCCGAATTCTCTTCAGAGATCCTCCCACGTCTGGAACTTATCATGTCATGTGCCTTCGGGCTTTCCTTCAAGAACCGGCAAAGTTGCGTATTGCAATAGGTCTGTATATATATAAGTGTCTAAGTCTAAATGGAGGTTAGAATAGAGCCTCCATGAACTCCTCTCCATTGTAACCCCCATGGACGCAAGTCATTTCAATAAAATAAGTCAAGAACTAATTTTAAAATTCGGTGCTAAAAGCTTCCAGGGCTTTGCACCTACTATAGGAGATTCGTGAAGGACTTTCCTTCCATCGCAAGACCCCTTTACAAGGTGACAGAGAGCAAGCAAAGGTTCTTGTGGACGAAAGAATGCGAGAATGCATTTAACAACTTAAAGGAAGCTTTAACATCTGCTCCAATCCTGACGTATCCTCAGCTCGACAGACCATTTATTCTCGACACGGACGCGAGCAATGAAAGTGTCGGTGGTGTTTTGTCCCAAGAAATAGACGGCCAAGAACGTGTAGTGGCATACTGGAGCAAGTGCCTGTCTAAACCGGAGAGGAATTATTGTGTCACCAGGAAAGAGTTGCTCGCCATAGTCAAAGCTGTAGAACAGTTCCAACACTATCTATACGGCAGAAAATTCCTGCTCCGCACCGATCATGCATCATTGACCTGGCTTTTAAATTTTAAGAATCCTGAGGGTCAATTAGCCAGGTGGATACAGAGACTCCAAGAATATGACATCACTATTCGTCATCGGAAGGGATCATCACACGGAAATGCCGACGCCCTGTCTAGAAGACCTTGCTTGGAAATCTCCCGACATTATTCCAGGGTCAAAGCGAAATACGAGCTCCTGAGTCCGGTTGCACGACAAATTACATCAACATCGGCTGATCGAGAACCGTGGAGTGATAATGAAGTCAGAAAAGACCAACAGGAAGACCGTGACATTAAACCCATAATTGATTTAATGGAGTCATCAAGCAGAAAACCTACCTGGTAGGACATTTCTATCTAGAGTCCTACAACAAGATAAAAATGGACACTCTGGAATTCACTTCACATTCGAAACGGCGTCTTATACCGGAAATTCGAATCGGATGATGGGAAGACGTTCCGATGGCAACTGATACTTCCAAGATCCCGGATTCCTGATGTCCTTAAGGAACTACATAACAGCCCTACAGGAGGTCGCTTTGGAATAATGAAGACTTTGCAGAGAATTCGTGAGCGCTTTTACTGGAATAATGCAAAGGATGACGTGCAAAAGTGGTGCCGATCTTGCGATGCGTGTGCGGGTCGAAAAGGACAGAGGAGACGCAGCCGAGGCAAGCTGCAACATTACAACGTAGGGGCGCCTTTTGAACGTATCGCCTTTGACATCCTGGGACCTCTGCCACGAACTGCTGATGGAAACAAATACATACTCGTTGTCATTGATTATTTCACCAAGTGGCCTGAAGCTTATTCTATTCCTGATCAAGAATAGAATACCTCAGGACAGTAGCTGAGGTAATGATACAGCACTGGATTTCCAGGTTCGGAGTGCCTCTTCAGTTAAATTCAGATCAGGGAAGGAATTTTTCCTCGGCTGTAATCAAAGAATTATGAAAATTACTCGGCGTTGACAAAACCCAAACGACTTCATTACATCCCCAGTCGGACGGCATGGTAGAGAGGCTCAATCGAACCATTCTTAACAACCTCTCATTAGTGGTTTCCAGAAACCAGCAGGACTGGGACAAGAAATTATCACTGTTTTAACTGGCTTACCGCAGTGACGTCCACGAGACTACCGGCTATTCCTTATCACAGATGCTCTTCGGTCGTGACCTTCGTCTGCCTTGTGATCTCTTGTTTGGTCGCCCTCCGGATGCTTCTTCATCGCCTGAGGAATATATTCAAGATCTCCATGCCTGGTTTGAAGTGATGCACAACTTTGCACGAAGAGCGAGTCCATTTGGCGACGGAGAAGATGAAGACCCGATACGACACAAGAGCTACTGAACATCAATTCAACGAAGGAGACAAGGTGTGGTTGTGGAATCCGATTGACGGAAGGTATTCTGTCCGAAATTACAGTCACCTTGGGATGGTCCGTACACAGTCCTAAGCAGGTGAATGACGTCGTGGTTCGGATCCGTAAGTCTTTGAACTCTAAACCTAAAGTCGTTCATTACGACAGGTTAGCTCCTTACTATGGTCATAGTACGTAGTGTAAATAATTGAAAATAATGTAAGACCATGGTCCTTTTTGTTTCTAAATGTGAATTTAGTATTTGATTTAGTTATTGCATTTATTGTTCATGTTGTTTGTTATTGTAATGTAATGCTTATTATTGCATTTATGCCTTAGTTGTAAGTTTGGCTTCTTGTCCAGGGATTGTCAAGATGTTTCACCATGAAAGCATAGTAAATTCTTAAATTAATGTCTTTTTTTGAATTTATTGATTTTATTTATTGTCTTTTTACAAAATTTTAAACGATATTAAAATGTTTATGCCTTCGAAATAAAAATTATTAGAACTAACATTTGTTAAAATTTTTTTTTGTGTTGTTGCCACAAAAAAAAGTGTGCTTGGCGAGATTTGCGCTGGTGAAACTAAAAGTACCTAAAAAAATCTGAAAGCTTTTTCAGATTTTACATTACGCCCAAAGGGGCTTTTCTTAACATTTTGCGTTTTTACCTTTATTTATTGAATATCAAATGTTCTTCGTACTTAAACCATAAAATTCAATTCAACAGCAATGCCGCAAAATAATTTTAAAATGAGCATATCTTTAGAATTTCCGATACACAATTGCGAGCGCGCTGGAGATAAAAATTGTCCTCTCCTAGAGTGTTGCCATTGCTCGATTTTAAATCGTTGAGTTTCTTAATAAAAAATTCTTTAATGTCGGACAAAATATGAAATAGAAAATAAAACAAATTCCAAATTTCAAATTAGGGCTTCCAGGTTCCCATATTTGCTGGAGGATTATGTTATTGAAAATTTGATGGCTCTATGTACCGTTGTTTTATCACAGTGCGAAAAACATACATACATTTATGTAGAATCTTCATTATTTATTTTCTTTAAATATAATACATTGCTGTAATATTTGGTGGCAACAGTCTGAAAAGTGAATCAACGCAGAAAGTGAATCGACACAAAAGGTCAAAACGAAATTAATAGCCCTTCTGTGCTAACGCTCTTTTTGCTAATTATGTTTTAACTGAATTGAAAATGTTAGTTTTAAAATGTTCTGCACGAGATTTTTTAAATTATAAATCTACTTTTGTATGTTGTGTGGTACTGTTAACATTTTATACAACGAGTTAGCTCTCAAAAATATATCATTAAGATTTACCAAACGATTGAAAATATTGAATGTATGATTTAAAAATTATAACCGTAACTGCTCCAAAAACAGGAAAGAATTCTTTTGCTTAAAGAACGTTTTAATCATGGATGAGTGTGTCTGACTCGGTGCATTCTGTAGTATTTTAAGACAGAGAACAATGTGAAGATTTTAAATAAGTAATATACAAAATGACAGCGTCACGTGCAAAGCAAGTAAAATGAACCTTTGTATTATAAAAATAATGCGTCGAAACCTTTTCGTTTTTTTCTTTGTCTGTATTGTCTTATCTTTATCTATTTTCAGACAAATTGTGTAAAAATATTTGCTAATTGTAAAATTATTATAATAAGTTAAAGAACTATCAAAACTCCTAAATTTTTGGCTATCCCTGCTGCATATCCCGCGACCCCCATGGGGGTCGTGATCCACAGTTTAATAAACTCTGCGTTAGAGCAAAAAGGTTAAAAAAAGCCTGATTGAG